CCTTTACAATTGTGAAATGTAGATGTGGTGGCCTAGTGGTAAATGTAATGGACTCTGGATCAAGAGGTCTGGGTTTGAGACCTGGCCATGTAAATGTCTGGGACAAAACAATTTACTCTCAGAGTGCCTCTCTATCTCCACCCAGGAGTATATGTGGGTACTGGCAAATCATCAGGGGAGCCTAGTGATATCCTAGGGAGAGGGGGGGAGGGGGAAAAACTTGGTGACGGATTAGTATGGGAGTAGTAATACTCCTAATTGCTTCATGCTAAGGAAACTGGGACAAGCTCTGCCTTAGTGGACCACTTAGCCTGAGCACAGACCTTAATTCTGTTACTTAAAAATTGTGAAAAATTACACACCAAGGAAGAAATGGGCATAATAAACAAATAAATAATCCACTGTTCATAAACCACCTGCTGTACGTCAGGCCCTACAGGTATGGGTGAGTAAGTTATCATTGGCCAAAGTCACACATGTAAGTTGATTGCTTGTTTCTTCTTTCATTATACTGTACCTGTTTATTCTTGAGAAAAGCTAAGGGGGGAGCTGGTGGAGGTTGAACAGGGGGAGGTGGGGGAGGGGGGGGGGAGGAGGTGGAGGAAGACCGTTTGGTGCACATTCAATTCTTGGTACATATCTGTTGCAGTGATCCCCACATGGACAAGTTGACTTCTGAAAAACAACAAAGTATACATTACTTATAGGCAAAGAGTATCTGTTTGGTTACTAGTGATCACCAGTTAACAAATAGATCCATGTCGCATGGAGTATATCTGTTCAGTAGATCACAGATCATTTCAAAATGTGGTAAGAACAAAAGATTGGCATTTGATATTCTTTAATCCTTTAGACATCTTCTGTGATTTATTAGTCAATGGACACATGGAAACATGGGATCTTTTTGTTTTGCATACTGATGAAACAAAACCTTGTCAATGATGAAGCCATCAATCAATCAAAATGCTGCAATCCAGGTTACATTGTATGATAAATATCAAAATATTTTTGTATTAATATGATTTTCAAATTGCAGTAGCAAGGGAAGATTGAGGATTGTAAATTGTTATTCTCCTACACATTCTCTTTTGTAAATTACACTCTGTTTTACAAGTACATGAAGTCATGGAGCGGCAGTACTTTTTTTTTTTTCATGAACATCATCTCATATAATTTCATGTAATAGCATTTCATTTTTCAGTTTGTATTGTAATTTATGGTAAATTAACCCTGAGAGAATCAACCCATTCTGACCACCCAATACACATTTCAGCAAACTAATGACCAGACCCTGGTTGTTCAAAGCTTGGATAGCAATATCCATTGGATAAATCTATTTGGTGGATAACACAGCGCGTTTTGTTATCACTTCTCTGCTGGATATCAATTTATCTGTTGGATAGAGTTATCCACCCTTTATACAACTGGGCCCAAGGGTATGACACATTTGCCATCTGCCTTGAGAGTAACAAAGGAAAAGTTTTTTTTTTTTTTAATTAGAACATGTACCTTGGCAAGTTCTGATTTCAGTTGATCGACTTCCTCCTCCAAGGCATTCATTCTTTTCACCATTTCATCAAGGTGAGTTTTCCTGTCTAACAAAACTGGATGGCCTTTGTCTCCTAGCAGAACCTTATTTTAAGAACAAGAATGATAAATATCATATTTGATTAATGATTTATGTCATAATAAGTGCCACCTTGAAAGTCCTTGAGCCATTATTCTCTATATCTGTTTATATTCTTAAAGTTAAGTTTAGGACAAATGCTTAGTACAGGAATTTGCAGTATTTCACAGGCCTGTTCGGGATATGAACCCATGACCTCATGCCATACCAGTGCAGTGAAATAGGTCATTTCATTTCATTTCATTTTTATTTAAACACGGTCAATTCATCAGCCTAAAAAATACATATCACATACGCTAGAATATTTAAAACTCGAACTATATACTATAACGCTAAAAGCTGTTTTCCGAGAGCGCCGTGCGTTAGACTTAAAGAATGTCATTGATCTTACGTTTAAATACCCCCAGAGACTCTGTGTTCCTTATATCGCATGGTAGACTGTTCCATAATGTGGCGCCATTGTAGCTGAAGCTTTTTCGGTAATAATAAGTGCGCGGTAATGGAACATTGAACTTATTTTCAGAGTCCCTAAGGTCATAAGCACAGATACTCTGGAGCTAGCCCGTGCAGACATCTAAACATCATGGTGGCTATGTGAATTTCCTGCTGGCGTGCAAGATTTTTCCACCTTAAAAACTCGAGTAGCTCAGTTGCATCAGCATCATAGTTAGAGAATCTCAATACACGGGCTACTCTATTCTGCAATTTCTGCAGTTTGTCTCGTAGCGTTTTCCCACAGTTACCCCAAACAATGTCATAGTAATCAAAGTGAGGTTTTACTAAGGCCTGGTAAACGAGATGTAAGGTTGATGCTGGGATCAGGTGCCTAATTCGCTTAAGGGCCCCGATACCAGAGGCGCCTTTTTTGGTTAATTTTTCGATGTGACTATGCCAATCGAGTTTATCGTCTATTATTACACCTGTAACCTGGCTCACTTGAGTATTGTTCATTGTAATTGTTGGTGAAGCTGTGAGAGTATTCAGTCTCTGCCTCGACCCTATTAGCATGAATTCGGTTTTGGTCATGTTCAATGTAAGTTTGTTTGCTTGTAGCCAGTTGAAGACGTTTGCTAGGTCTTCATTTAGACAAAACTGAACATTCTCCAGATTACTGCCCGCATATGTAAGGTGCGTGTCGTCAGCGTACATTCTTGGTTTACAATTTGATAAGCAATTTGGAAGATCGTAGAATTATGGTAGAATTACCATCGTACTTATTATGGTAGAATTATGGTAGAATTACCAGCGTACATTCTTGGTTTACAATTTGATAAGCAATTTGGAAGATCGTAGAATTAGGTAGAATTATGAAGGCAATAGGGAATCACTTTTGATATAAAACAAAACAAATAAACAACTAACCTTTCCTAGTGTTTGTATTCCACAACCAAACGTTTGTTTAAGCCAGTTTAAAATAAGGTACACACTTCTGATGGACCTGAAACACCAGTCTACGGTAAAATGCTGACAAAAAGAGGCCAAGTTTTTCAGGCGAGATAAGATGACACCTATTTTCCAGAGCCTCAATCTCTGCATACTTTCATCAGCCGCAGCACAAGAGATTGCACAGCAAGAAGACTCTGATCTCTCATGAATAGCAGTTAAGGACAATTTGCAGGTCGTCGAGGTCGATATGCAACGAATCGACTTCATTTGAAACTTTTGCTTGTTTAAATCCTTTTCCGCGAGTTTTTCTCTTCTTTCTCTGTTTCCGTGAATTTGCAGAGCCCCAGTTTTGCTTAGATTGCCCAAGTTTTCTCTTCCTTCCCATTTAGAACAGTGTTTAGAAGAGTCGATCGTGGAAAATCATAACAAGTTAACAATCTTGAAATCGATGACCTATTCGAATTTTGCTTCCTATACAGGATAAGCCAATCAGATTTGTATATTGCCAAGTTGGTACCAGACTTCTGCCTGCGTCGTGCTCTCAGGAATTTGTTGAACTATCTAATCAGTTCAGTTTTTGCAAATTAAACGTAAGCTAATCGAGATTGCGCTAAACTAAAAACATTTTAAGTAATGCTAAGGAATCGTATCGAACTTTGCCTGTTTGTGTTGAGATGGTGAAACGGACTGGGCAGAATGAAGCCGCAAACCTGTCAGTGGTTATTACGCGCAGTCATGCTCTCTTGAGCATTTACTCCCTTCGATAGGGTGTGTTTTCGAGTTACATTGAATGAAAAACTGTGAGGCATAGCGATAAACTTAGCTATAACAATGTCGACCCTCTTTGAAGACGTAAAAAACAAAATGATTGCCATTAAGGCAAAGACAGAAGAAGCTGTTGAAAGAGAGCATGATGCATGTTCGGAGCTGAAAACAAAGATTCAAGAGATTGCTAGCAAGGAGGACGAAGCGGCGGGATATCATAGACGCATTCAGTTTCTGCGAAAAGAAACTCGAAGACGCGCAGGCCGAGACAGACGAAAAGGAAAGTAGATTGAAAGAGCTGAATGATAAAGCAGATGCGGAGGCTGTCAAGGGAAGGAACTAACTTATGCCGAAGTAGAAACTGATGAACAGCTCCGAGAACTTGAACACCAGGTGCAAGAAGCCCAGTCCGCCGCCGAGACCGCTCATATGAGGTTGAACGAAGCCCAGAGAAAGCTAACTGTTATCGAAAACGAACTGTCTCGCTCGGAAATTCGCAAGGATACGGCAGTGAAACGAGTCGAGGAATTGGAACACATGATCCGTACTGCTGGAGAAAATCTTCGCAAACTTGAACAAGAAGATGTGCTTGCTAGTGAGAGAGAAACCGACAGCCAGCAAAAAATTCAAATTTTGGAAGAAGAGCTGAAAGTTCAGATAGAGAAATGCGAAGAGACTGAGAGATTGGAAAGCACAAAATTGCGCTTAATTGACGAACTGACCACGGACATAGAGTTCTGGAATTCAAAGAAGCTGAAACTGTTGAATGAAATAGACGCTATGGAGAGTATGGACTAGAACTTCTGACTTCTGACTCTAAGATTGTTTTGGTAATTCGTGAGCAAGGGAGAAGCGTGGCTTCTAATACTGGTTCTGTAAGTTTTGAACGGAAATCAGATATGGATTATAAGAAAGTCAGTTTTGTTTTAAAAAGAAAAAATTGGAATTCTGTTGTTGCATGTTGTTTATATTCATCAGAGAACTTACAAATTTTTTAACAGTACTAAGTGTGAGGAGCTAAATACCGGTGTACACCATGCTGTATTTTATGCAGGTCTAAACTTGGAATTTATGTCGTGGTGGCCACATCTTTGTAAAGATCTTGTCCTTTTTCAGATTACTGTCCAAGTTTGTGTTAATTTTCTTTGCACAAAAGAGTTGCTTCTAAAAACAGATTATAGTAGTTTCAGTGTGGGGTGAATGACATAACATAGTTCCAGTGTGACCCTCTTGGAATGCAACTTGGCGTATGCTAAGGACCATGGAAATGCATCTAAGCTTTGACATTATTGTTATGGGAAACTGAGATATGCATTTTTCATAAGATGTCCCCAGATCAATTTCATCTGTTACAATGCCTAGGTAAAACGAGAAAGAGAAATAAAGCTTCCTTTCTGTATATGGTTCTGTATTGTTACAGGTAGCTAGTTTTGGTAGTTTTACTTTGTTGTGGTTCTCAAAAATCAGCCTTTCTTCATTTGACTGGTTTTATGCAGGTAACAGTCTTACAGGCTACATGTAATTTGCACAATGCAGTTTTAGCTTCTGTGATTGCAGCTTGCTGGTGATGCAAAATTGTGTGCACCTGTGTTCTTCATTTAGCAGAGGCAACATAGTGCAGGTTTAAAGGCAAGATAAGTTTTAATGGACTTTTCTTTAAGATTCATTTTTTTTTTTTTTTTAAGGAAAAAAAGCTAAACCATGAACCTGTCATTGTGACTGTAATATAGAAAGATTTTAAGGCCATATGCTACATGTTTCAAAGAGTATTTAGTTGTTCTTGTATTGTGTAATACCAGATTGTAATATTTTATGAGCAAGTAGGACAAAAAAGTAGCTATTACTGTAATACTTACCAAACAACTTATGTTCAAATGTAAGCTGTGGCCTAAAATTAGGCCTTTGATATTTCAAGGTAATAAAATGGTTTTCAGAAACAAACTCTAGAACTTTAATTTTAACTGTATACTGAAGCCAGTTCCAGGTGTCAGGCTCTTAGTAACTGAATAGGTTATGTTTCTTACCATGAGACCATTTTACTCTAACACTGTACCATCATCAACTGATCCTGACACACCAAATGGGTTGTAGGCAGGATTCTAAAATTCATAAAATTAATGCAATAAAATACCCTACATTTGTTAAATAGACAGAGAATTCATTATGAAAGAAAGGGTTGGCAATCTTTCAAACTCATAAATTTCCATGACCATTTTCAGGACCTGCTTTATTTCCTCAAATAAGTGCCCAGATAGGCATCCACCCCATCAGCCACCATGTTGAACAAACACCCATCACGAATAGGTGCCTCCCCCCCTCCTCCCTCACTTTCTTAGAGAGTAGATATACAAGGAAAACCTGTTTCTATTGTCACTTTATTAAAATTGTTCTAATAATCACTGATAACTGATAATAATAATAATGACCCCCCCCCCCTTGCATCGGCACCCTCTATTTTTAGCCAAAATTTTAAATAAGCACCTAAGGGCTTGTCCAAAGAAATTCAGTATTTATTAATTTCCGTGACCCACAATCAAGATGCTTCTAAAATGATGGGGGAAAAAATCATGCTATGTAGGCATTTTTCTCAAATTTTTCTCTCAAAATTTAATTTTCCTTGATTTTGTAAGACCTGAATGTTGCAAATTGTTAGGTTTTCCATGTATGGGAACCCTAGAAATGTGTAAGCACAACAAATACCCCAAAGTTTCCTCAGTAATCTACCCACTAGAATTTGGCTTTAAAGGCAGGTGTTTAACTCCAGACAGCACGGAATGGTATCTGATGCAGTCTTCCAAGCTTTGACTTTATTCATCACCATAACAGGCAGAAATCTGTTACATGACTAACTCTGCAGGTGAAGTAGCTGTTGTTGAAAATACCATTTAAAAAATCCCTGTGGAGGGATGGCCCCCAGACTCCCTTAAGATATGGCTTTTTTTCAAGCTCCCCCAGTTGAAAATGGGCTCTGATGTTTAACTCCCAGAAGTGACCAAGACATAATTTCTCCTTACTGTATCAAAACAGCTAGGAGCTATGAATGCTATCTTAAAGCAAAAATGGTCCAAGAGGAATTTTTCTGGTTTACAACAATGCTTGGTCATTGCACAGGTTTCACTAACTCTTTAACTCACAGAGACGATTCACAAGTAACTTCTCCCTAAAATATCCTCACATTATCCAGCAAGCACATAATGAGAATACTCAAATTTATTAGGTAGAAGTTGTTATCTTGATCTAACACCAAATTCTTGTGACTAAGTTACAAGGAAATGTGTAGCAGCTAGAGGGGAGGATTAACAATCAGATCTCAAGAGTTAAGGGTTAAATGCTGGTTACTCCTGCCTTTAAGACCCCTTACTGCCTTCAATTTACCCCACACACAATCTCCTGTTTGGGTTTTGCTTTATGCCCCTTTTTGCCAGCACAGCCACCTATTGCATCATTGGCAGCTGCTTATGGAAAATTTGAAACTCCTGTCACTGATTTCCAAATGCCAATTAGTGTCTGTATGAGAAGAGGCAAGTGACAGAAAAATGAGACAAAATAATTTGCAAGTATGACAAAAATATGATCAGTGCCATGATGTTTTTTTAAGTTTTGGAGTACATAACAGACCAGTTTTCAGCATGAAGGCATTTCATGATTGCTGGTCAAGGTGAACAGAAACTTCTGATACAAAAAAAGATAAATTTGAAGCTACTACAACTCTCTTTGTAAGAAAATCTATCATTTTGAAAGAAAACAAACAAAAACAAAATTCACAAAGCAAAAGGCAAGATATAGCAAAACACAGAAAACACACTTGAGTTTAAATAACAATCACATTTTATTGTTTGTCTTCTTAACAAGCTTAGATGATCCCAATCTGCAAAACAATAATAAAAATGACATTACAAAACCTCAGAATTGGGAAAAATTCTTCAGCAATCATAGAATCTTTTCAAAAGTAATTATATGATTCATTCTTTCACATACCTTGTTGGCCACATCCAAAGCATCATAATCTGGAGCCAGTCTAACATATGCTTTCTTCTGCCCATCAGGTCTAGAGAATGTAATAATCAATTTAGACTACACATGCATAAATTTCCATAGAGCAATAGATTAAGAATACAAAAATAGGGTATTTTGGTATTGTAAACTGCACTGATTATGGAAATTAGCCACCGTAAAGAGTTTCAAATCTGACATTTTGAGTGATAGCCCTTTGTCACAGCTCTGGCAAAAGGCTAAAGCTCAAACATCAGTTTTGAAACCCTTTACTAATGGCCAATTAATATATCAACTCAGTTGATGACACCAAATTACCCTGTTATACTCTCCAACCAACACACACAGTTTCTTTAGGAATTTATTCCCTGAATACAAAAATAGTTTGATTGATAGCAAATCTCCATACATGTTTGCTTTCTGTTAAACCTTTAAACTCTAAGAGTGACCAACATCAAATTACTACCTTCAATAATACAGCCTAACCATTCATTACGATCATGAAAATAAAGGGAGTGAATCCCAAGAAATTTTGATTGTTTGTTTGTTTACCATATTCTCCTTGTCAGTACCAAGGGAAATGTATGGGTAAGTGTGTGGTGGAAAGGGTAAAGGTGCATATCAATTCATAGTTCAACATTTTCCACACAAGTTTAATTTTCATTTTGCACATTTTATATGGTTATAATCTGAAACAAAACGAGCAAAAGAATCACGCTGGATTTAAAAATTTTAAACAAAAATAAATTCAACCTTTAACAATGTAACTACGTAGAAATACACACAATGGAGGTGGCAATAATTTTGTTATTTAGCTCCTGAAAATGTTCTTGGGGCAGCAAATCAAGATTCCATTGTCCCCGTAAAAATTCCATTAACAATCAGATCTACACGATAGAACAATGTTCCAACAACAAAAATAGACTTAAGCTGTAAGAATTTAAATCAAGAACTGTGTTACAAGCCAATTCATAGCCTGCTTTATCCTTTTTGTTAACCCTTTAACTCCCATGAGTGATCAAGACAGAATTTCTTGCTACAATATCAATACAATATCAACCAGATAAGTAATGAGAATAAAGAAAAATATCAATTCAGGGATAATTAGTTGATCCAATACTAAATTCTCTGAACTAACATTATAAGAATTGTATGGTTGATGGTAACAAGAATTACAAATTTGATCTGGGAGTTTAAGGGTTAAGTGACAACTGTCTTTGAACTGAGCACCCTATGAAGGAGCAAGTTAAACATGTTATAAAACAGTATCATAGAGATCTAGAAATATTTGGAAAGAATTTTAGATTTCATCAATCAACATAACTGAAAAATTGGCAATTAACCCTTTCCCTCCCAAGATCCCATTAGCAATTCTCCTTACTATCTGCTATACCATTCTTATAATGTTAGTTTGGAGAATTTAGTATTGGATCAAGTAATAAACCCCTAATTGACATTTTTCTTTATTTTCCTTGTTTGTCTGTTTGATATTGTATTGATATTGTAGGGAGAAATTCTGTCTTGGTCACTCAAGGGAGTTTATGGGTGTTAGAAGAAATAGATACTCTTCATATGATATATCAACAAAAAAATTAACATGTACCTGATCAAAGTGTTGACTTTGGAAGCCTCAATGTCGTACAGCTTTTTCACTGATGCCTTGATCTGGGGCTTGTTAGCTCTCACATCGACAATGAACACAAGTGTGTTGTTGTTGTTCAATCTTCTTCATGGCTGACTCTGTGGTCAAAGGATGCTTGATGATGGCAAAGTGATCAAGTTTGGTGGTCCTTGGAGCAGAGTGCCTTGGGTATTTGGGAGTTCTTTGCAAGCGAAGGGTTTTTGGGACGGTAGAAGTGGACATTTGTGCACCTTCCTTTTCTGTGTTCTTTGAACACCTTTCAGTACAGACTTCTTGGCCTTCTGGGCCTTAGATGTCTCACTGGACTTAACAGAGGCACCAGATTTTGACTTTCCTGAAACCACAACAAAAACAAAAATTCAGCAAGACTTTTTGAAACATGGAGTTAATCAGCCAGTCTGAATGACATTTTTTTCCAAAATTGTCTCCCCTTTCAATTAACATTCCATAAAAGAACCAAAATAACAACTCCCCGGAGGGCTTTTTGAGGACAGTAAAATCAAACAGAGCACAAAATATCAGTAGTGACAAGTTCAAACAGGCTGAGGAGCAACCAGCTGCCAAACGCAGTCAAAGTCTATAAGAAAGATATACCATTTCCAAATCCAAAACCCCTTACTATTCAAATGAGACCAGGTGCAAAACCTTCTCACGAAAATGAGTTATATCTGTGCGTAAGAAAAATCATCTTCATAGCAAAGGCTTTGCATTCACCTCTACTTTAATACAAAGGTATAAGGAAGGCATATGCTTGGCAGAGCCACATTTGAAGTTCATGATTTATTTATTAAAAAACGTTATTCGGGAGTAATTCACGGTTATGTACAATTTTTCTACAAAGCTAACTGAGGACTAATGTTGATAAATGAAGGTACAGACAAGAAGTTGGTTGTGATAGTATGTCTGCTGATTCGTTAAAACCCTCCGGACTGGCCTCAAATGGTTGCCACGTCCCTCATCTAAGAAGCCTCCACTGTGCATGAAATACACAATGATCGAAGCTAAAATGGTTTAAACTCGAAGGAAAATCTGAACATTTATTAGCCACACGTGGAATGCAACATCGAACAACAAATCCCATTTCTAGCACAGTTTTTCAACAGGATAATCGCTCACTACCAAATTGTCGTCTTTATTTATTCATGTTACTATTCGCGGCTCAGAAGTCGAAAAAAGTTAATGCTATATTGTAAAAATCGCATACTTTTAGATCAATGTTCTTACCCTTCTCCTTAGGCGCCATGTGTAATTCTAAGAGGAAGGAGTTATGGTGGGGTGGACGGCTATGATTTTCAGGGCGAAGACTTAGTGACCTAGCATTCGAGCCCAGTCCAAATCTCGGATTTTTGACTAGAGGCAAGGGTTGGAAATCCTAAAAAAATGAGATTAATTGGAAATTAATTGGATAGATTATTATCCAACGGTGGAAAAACCCGAAGAATTTGGCTGCTCCGAGTTCCTTTGATCCTCTCATGAGCCTGAGCCTGAGCAGGGTAATTTAGTACTCTTCCACCGACGCACCATTATAGTTTCTCTTGAAACTTACCCCCTTTTTCAAATCTTAAGCAATCAACGTCACAAAAACCGCTCATTTAAATGTTCGAAAAAAGGAAAAAAGTCATCACACCCCTACAGAAAAACCGAACTTTTGAGAAACGACTCAGAGCGGTATATATTTAAAGAGTATTTTTTTTTGAACAAGGTTAGGTGCTCAACTGCCAAAGCTTTCAACGCAGTTTGCTTCGCAAACACAAATTTGAAGTTGTCAGGGATAAGATGGAATACGTGGGAGTTAGTTTTTTTATTTGTTTTCTTTTTTCCTCTGTGGGTGATTAAGCGTAGTTCAATCTATTTGTATATATATTTGTTTAGTGGTTTTAATGATGCAGATATCCAGCTTTTTGTGGTCGATGACTATGTCAATGAGAATTTTGGTCAAAAGCAGGAAGTCTGTTTTGAGAAGGATGTGATCTGAAATCAGAATGAAACTGAAAATGACTGAGAACGGTTTTTTTATTAAGTGGCACGGCCAAACTCGGAGAAATAAATTTCAGATAGATTGCTGCACCATACTATTCAAAAACAAATGATAAGTTCTACTCATTCCAATTACAAGACATGCAAAAGCCCTGTATAGTTATTTCTTTTCCTGTCATAGCTCTGACGAAGGGCTAAGCGCTCCAAAAGTCAGCCTTTGAACTTTTTACGGTGGCCAATTTACGTTGGCAAATCAGTTGATAACACTTAATTACCCTGTTATACTCTCCCACTGACGCAGCACCACAATTTATTTAGAAACTTATCTCCTTTATTTATTCAAAAACAAAGCCGCAGTCCTAAAGGCAATGAATTGTTTCCGCCGGTGTTTTCTTTATCCAAGAGCTGTGATGAAGCATGGGGCTGCGCGGAAATCTTGTTAACTTTGATGTTTCAAAAGGAGTTGAACCTTGATTGGATTGTTATTTCATAATGGATGGTTAGAAAGTCATAAAAACTCAAATCATTTTGGTTCTGACCATAAATTCAATGAAACAGTACAGGCCCCGGTTGTAAGCAGATATAAGGTGTGTGGAATGAATGCGAATGCAGCAAGTTAACCAATTGCAAGCTTGTTGATGCTTTTTACTAACTGGCCGTGCTTATCATTTATTGGTTGAGTAAATTTGCATTATAACACAGGTTTATTCGAGGTTTAACAAGGCGAAAATTAGGAGGCCATTTAAATCATATCAGCGATTACACCGATAACGTTTTCCATCAGTGAACCTTTCAAACGAAACAAAACGCAGCCACAGGTTATTTGTTTGTCTGATTCGATTCGCGTTTACGAAAACCTAAAAACAATAACATATATATGCGAAAACATAATAAATTAATATATATTCATGATGAGTAAACACAAGAGCAGTGAGTGCAACTCACAAATAAAATAATTTTATTGAATACTTCCCAATTTGCTTGCCGAATAAATATTTACCTTACGCTATTTATTTTGCCAAGTTCACATATTACCTGATAGAAAATTTTGCATATGTGGAAATTACGCGAGAATTTGGCGAGAAGTGCATGTCAGCATAGAAAGCGAAGTGGTACCCCGTTGATTTCGGATATGTTCGCTTTACTCCTGGGGTGGACCGCCGGCTGAGCTGCAAGAATAACGACATAAACAAATTTAATGGTATACCACGCTCTTTAACAATTGTTCATAAACACTGTTTTGTTACATCTCATGTTCAAGCCTGTGCAAAATTGCAAAGATATGGGACTATTTCTGCTGTCAAGTTTACTTTTTTTGTCTTCACACCATGACAAAGTCAGTTTCACTGAGCAATGTTGCATTTCATAGTCGAAAGACAGCGCAATGAAACAAGAAGCCATTGTGTTTAGTAGAATATGAAAAATGCATAAAAAGAACTCCAGTTGTGGGCATCATCTTCTTAAAGTAATCGTTAAATCCGATCTTTTCCCGTTCTATTTCAATGCGGCAGGTGATTTTGGTGTAGCGCTGTTAGTTGAAATAATAAAAACATTTAGGGATGTCTCCCATACAATCTATGTTTAAAAAACAGACGAATTCGGCACTTTTCGTGCGGAAAATCCCCTTTGATTTCAGGAGCTTTAATTGTCTTTTTTTAAGCTGAAGGGCGGGAATAACAAAGTTAACCACACCTCCACTGAACCAATTCACGAATCGCTTGATTCTTACGCATAAATATGTATGTAAATCGTCTTGGTTTGGCAGCTTTAACGAGTAAACAGACATCTTAGCAAACACTAATTTGGCAAACTTATACTATAATTTGAGCCAACTTTTTTTAATAGCTGTCCATTTATCGCAGTGATATTACAAAATTATACTTTCAAATAAGAAAAATTTCTTATATAGCATATCTACAGTAATACAGCTTTTTAGTTTTTCGGCTAAGCAAAAATGAGAAATTACAAGGTTTGTTTGGCTATTAGCGGTATACCTGTCCGCGGATGTTTATATTTCAACTGTGAGACCGATTTAAGCTTCTGACCACTAAACAAAAATACTAAAACCCTCTAGAGCCTCAGTAAATGCATTCGATATGTGGGTGTACTGTTCTGTTAAAGGTAAGGTTATATGCGTAAAAACCAGATACACCGTAATTTGGTGCATTGTTAAGACACAGGCATTCAACGGCCTTTTGGCCAATCTTTATAAATTTTTGATGATGTAGCTTTAAAACTACTCCTAAAGTTCATCTAGACTAAAGTTGTTGTTGTTTACACGTGATTACAATCTAATTTTCTGAGCCGTTAAGCCAACGCAAGCCCTCAAGGATTCACCTACCCCTCCCACAAAATGCTTTTCGGAAGTTTGTACATCTTTGCTTAAACTTCGAATATTCTGGTCGTATTCCCCTCACTTTCCTCCTGCTCCACACATCCAAACTGTTTCTTGATCGATTCTTTCAAATCAGGTAACTCAAAGCACGAGACAACTCCCTTAAGCGCGGTACCCGTCAATGCCACCACCAAGGCGACAAAATGGATTGGAAATTTTCCTGTGTAATATATTTTACCTCCATTCATCGCCTGGGTCAATGCCACGCATAAGTAGGGCGCCCAACAGCATGTGTGAATGATAAGAATCACAAAAAACACTTTCTGAGTGGTTCGCTCGCTTCCTCGCAGCCCATAAATCTCGCAACGTCTCCTCATTGAGTCATCTCGCTTCATTCGCTCCGGTTGAAAGATGAAAATGTCATAAATGTGTGTGTAGAACGCTGCGCTGAGCGGCAATAGGAAGCAAAATGATAGAACTGAAGTGGTATACCAAGAATTAGTCACCAAATCTGGGAGACAGTGGATCTCCGGAGAAGCTGACCATGCAATATGGGGAGGAATACTGATCAAAAATGAAAACAACCATACAATCACAGCCATCAGATTTGACCTAAAATCGCTGAATATTCTGGGGAAAGCCATCTTGTCGATAACTGAACAATGCCTGCTGGTGGCAACCAGCATCAGGAACATAGCAGGAGCCAAGAGTTCCACTAGGCCTAAGGTAGCGCTGACTTTACAATAGATATCACCCACGAAATTTGTTCTACTGTGGATGGTGGACAAAATCCAGAATGGTACCACCACTGATGCGGTTAGCAAATCCACTAAACTGCTATGCAAGGTGAACAAGTCATGCACCTTTCTCCTTTGAGAATTCTTGCAAGTTATTCCGACGATTAGCAAATTAGCCGCGATGGATGTCACTCCAGTAATTGTAAGAATAGTAACAAATGGTACCGACTCCTCTAGGGAGATATTCAACGGCCCTGTGGCCTCTGCCATACTTTGAAACTTTCGATATCATCAACCAAGTGTCTCATTGGCTTTGTTGCTTGTCAAGACGCAGCGAAATAATCACTGTGCGCTAATTTTTTTTACTCTGTTTTTATACTAACTAACCAATTAACAGGTGTAAGCTGGTCGTCCAGCAGGTGAGACAATGTCGTGGAAAGGTGAAACGTGTTGTGATTGGCTAGACAAGTAAGTTGCCATAATAACACCGCAGGGGTGTTTAAAATCCAGTTGGATCTCGTGGCTTTGACCAAGCTAAGAAAAAGAAGCAAATACCAAAAAAATTGGATAGAAATAAGCCTGGAGCAGGTCCTAAAACTGGATTTATGATCTATTTTCTTTCTTTCTTGATGCATTAAAGTCGAAATGGAGAGCGAAATTTGCTACCTCAATCGAACTGTTATCCAGCCTTAAAATGTTGACAAATCGTAATTGAATTTCGATGTGATAAATGTTTTTTATTATTGATATTCTTTAAGCAGTGGGGTAACTAACAGATTTTACTGAATAGGTCCTATCATGGGCAGTTTCGACATAATTTAAATCTGAAATTTCAAAATTAGGTTTTAAGTTTAAGATTCTTGATTGGCGGATAAATTGATAAGTTTCAATACTAAGCTGATGTTATGATAAAAGCCTATAATTATAACTAAATGTTTAAATTAGCGAGATGTATCCAGCTGTGATGTAAAAAAATAATTTTAACTTTCTATTAACTTTCAAAAATGGTTTCAGGAAGGCTGAAAGGATTACCACATTTTAAAAGTGATTTGGTTTTATCAGTTGAGTTGATAATGTAAAGTGGCCGGCCACCGAAATAGTCTCTAAAGCTGACGTTTCGAGCTTTATCCCTTCGTCGGAGCGACACGCAGTGGCAAATTATTTACATTATCCACCCAGTTGTTAAATTCAAGTTATATTGTAATGTAATTATAAACTTAAGCCCTTAACACACTCACCTTAGCTACCAACGATCTAGGTCCCGAAATTACTTTTACTAGAACCATTGTGATTTTTCTCCGGCAATACATTTCTCTCACGCAATGCAAACCTCCATCCACGAGGATAAAAGAACTGCAGAGTATTTTCAAGCAAATCGCAGGCTTACCAGCCATATTAAAATCACGCTCTTATCAAATTTCCTAGGAAAAAAGCTTACCAGCCATATTAAAATCACGCTCTTATCAAATTTTATAGGAAAAAATCGAACGAGCTCTCTGAAGTATGAATGAAGCACCTACCACCCTCGTTCTCTCTAATGAAAGTACTTTTAAGCTATGAGAGATCTAATACCCATGCTGATCGTTAAAAAAATCTCCCTATAGTTTGCATTCCCATGTAACCATCGGCTCTTTTCGTTGTTTTTCTCATGATACTCCCTAAGGTGGCACGTGAGGCTACTTCCTTTCAAATAACTTGCAGAACAGACGTCTAAGCTTTTCTGCGTTCAACAGGCGAGCGGAGGCAGGCACGAGGCGAGCGTGGGAAAACGTGACTGGCATGGCATGCTCTCGTGGCGTTTGCCTCGTGCATACACGGTCAATCAAGTCTGAGAGACGCGAGTAAAGGAAGTCTAGCTCCTGTGTTTAGTAACCGACGATCTTCTTTGCCGGGGATCACTAGGTTGATACTTCGTCTAAGTTGTATAAATTCCCGTCAGGGATAACTAAAGTCAACAAATAGATGATTTAATTTTTCAACCAGATAGTGGTACCTCTCACATAAATCAAGGTTCTCTAAACTATGTGAAAAGGAAGTGTATGGCATCTCGAAAATTACATTACCAAACAGAGAAGCTCAAAGCTAAGTTTAATTTTTTTCTTCCCTTGACTTAACCTGTTCTTATCCCATTATTTCCAAATCCTTTTTGTAGCCATTTCTTCAGAGGATCATGACGGGTCAAATAATTGCGATTTTGAAAACTGTTTCTCCCCTCACACAGCTATGAATGGCTTCCTTTTTAAATATGACAACTTGGTCCAAATTAGTTTTGAAACAATTTTTTTTTATTATAAAACGGAAACATGCCGTTGCCTTAAAAACAATGTTTAGAAATCCGAAGAAGCTTTTTCCCATTGAAAGCTTGTCGGACTTTCGCTACTATTATGAAATCTTATCTCTAAGGACTCCTAATTTTGAGTCTTATGTTTTACGCCAAAATGTTTATCAAAATGTTTCAATGGTTTCATGCAGTTCGCTTAGTTAAAAAAAAAGGAGTTCTTCAATCTTAAACTGCAAATCGTGCTGATCAACACTAAAACCACTCTGAAAAGACTTGAATTTCAAGCAGCTTCATGCTAATTACGAAGAACTGCGGTCTAAAATGGACTTTTTCTTCCAGTTCTCTGGATTATATTGTTACAACATTGAACAATATTGCTGCTAAAGAAACAATCACATAAATGAAGGAATGCAATGAAGAGGCAGCTCCCGGCTGAGTAGGGATTGGGGCTGTCGGAATGATGACAAGTTGGTACGAAGAGTAGCCTTTTGAAGAATGGACATTAAAGCTGTCAGCGCTTGTGACATCCTCAGTGCCATAGGCCCAAATGATATGTACTGCACCACCAGGCTGTGATTAAAAGAGAAAATATTGACAGATTAAACAATAAACAGATAACCAGAAATGATCCCAAAAAACCTATTTTATCCTAATCCTATTCCATACCAAATCACACCAATTTCTACACCAGCTCATTTTTTTGAGACTGGAGCCCGTTTCTCGAAAGTCGCGGTAAATAAACGGGCCCAAAGCCATATCTTATAAACAAAATTTAAAGAATACAGAAGCAGGCTCTGGCTCCTTAACCAGTTTATTTTGTTTCTTTAGCTGAAAGTTGTTTCCTAGTCTTGAATGAAAACAAAACGGAAAACTCAACTTTTTTTTTCCCAACGCCTCAGAGCAATTAGCCGCGCAGACACAGGGCTTACTGTGTGGAGGGAGGGAGGGAGGAAGGGGAAGTCTCGTACCCAGACCCTCCACGGCTAAGCGGTTGTAAGGTCCCTACATTTCAATTACAGTTATACGGTAGGATCTGGTTGCGAGATTAGTGAAGAGGGGCTTTTAGGATAAGTGAATACAAACACTTACCACGAACTGTATATCTTGGTCATCATTCGTATCAGTTAGTCTCTCAAACATTAGCTCAGTGTATCCAGCTACTTCTGATGCAGACAATAACGTATAGTCGTTTTTGCTTTCAGGTTGGGGTTGAGCTCGTCCTTGAGTGTAATAGTCCTGATTATAGAGAATGAGGAAAATTAGTGTAAAAGAAATCGGTAATAAAGATGGCATAAAGAGGACGGTTGGTTTCCCATCAGCACCCGTTGTCTTATAGATTACAGTTCATGAAATATGCATAGTAAGAATAATTTCCCTTTTACTTGTATCTGATCCTTTCCACGTGGCCCTGTTCCTACACTACCACAACACAAAAGTAAGATTTTGTTATCGTTATGCAATATTTACATTTTTGTAAGACTCTTGGTTTTTCTCGATAAATCTTATGGTACTGGTACTGGCGCCCTTACCGCTGACTTTTTTTATAAATAATATTGTGATCACTTTTGCCTGATCATGATCTTTCATACTGGAGATCTTTTGTCCAATTGCTTTTTTCTCGTCTAAATTTTTCATTACAAGAAGATTTAGGAATGTGGTGTTTTACTGCTGGTAGGTATAACAGTTGAATTTTTCTGTGCAGGGTACGTGGAGAGGGTACCTCTGTGTTAAAATATGGTGCAAGGAAACGCAGTACAGCAGTCAGTTACACGCGGCAATCGTTCCAGTAAATTAGCCATGATAAAGCATATAAAAACACAGCTGAGTAATTCTGACTCGCCAGGCATCCGGGGACTGAGGACTAAGTTGCGATGGCAAGGGGGGTGGGGTGGGGTGGGGTGGGGTGGGGTGGGGTGAGGTGGGGGAGATCCGGATCGAGAGATTTTAGTTCGAGCTTTAGTTAATTCAATGAGTGGTGTTCATGTGTGAGAAATTGTACCCTGACAAAGTCCCGGAAGTATTAATGGGTGGCAGCAAACTTTCAAACTTCTTCGCTACGGCTATCTGCCATAAAAATTCATTCCCTCTCATGAGAATAGCTGTTAATTTTTTCCATGCAGCTGAAACCAAGATAAGCTTTAGTAGTAAGGGGCCGGCAAGTCAAGTTTCATAACAAATTTCTCGGAGACTTACCATTAAATATCCGACGTTGTCATATCCGCCAACGACTACGTCATAATTTCTCATCTGAGTTGGTGCGACCCTGGCAAAACCAAATCCTACCCAGCCAGTGGTTTTAACTTTCACATGAAAAGTTAACTTGTTATTTTGATCGTCAAATGTCCACCGCATAAGAAAATTACCATTGTCGAAGGAATGACTGAACTGGCCTTTCCCTACGAAAATATGTTGAAATCACGATTTAGTATTAAATAATTTGGATAGTACATCTACCTCCTCCTTCATATTTCGTTCCTCTCCCGTAGATTAGTTCTGCCGTCTGTCTGTCTGTCTTTTCACAATTTTTCCTATATTCAGTTTGAATGGCAGAACCTTAGAAAAAAAGCCTTTACTTATAGAGTCTTTTTTCTTGACCTCTTATTGATCCTTAAATTATGAACGCAATGTTATGAAAACTATACTTTTGGTCAGGGTTGGTGTCGTCGAAGTCATGCCAGCTGAAACGAGTGCACGAGTAAATTTAATGTTACTTAGGTTGATAATCACTTCTTTAAATCTAGTTCTACCAGATTTCTCACCCACAAATAGAGCGCATACAATTCCTATTTACTCGTTATTATCAGTTATCTTCCACGCTTAAACCACACAGATGTGCAACATGGGCACTCGCTTTCTCATGTACTAGACGTAGAATGCTTGTTTTTTACCTGAAGTCCTTATTGCCTCCTTGTGGTATGTTGCTTTGTTTTGACAGGCGTTTGTGATCAGGTAGGTTTTAGCTTTACGAAACTAAACTGAAATACGCCCCTGAAGGTTTTCATGATAAAAATCAAAGGATTTGAAGATGGCGAGAAAAAATGATCTTGTGGAATTAAAGTCTCTGTCTCTTGAGATATTATCAATGTTATCATCGTCATCACGATTATTAAATTGCTATGGGTACGTTCGTATTATTGAGGCCTTTGTGGAGAGAGAGTCTAATTTCGTAATCCTCTCTGTTCTTAAATTATGACTTATTATGATTCATTTGTTAGTGGCGAGCGATGAAGGAAAGTTATACCTGTTGTCGGGGTCGGTGTCATCAGAGTCATATCAGCTGGTACAAGTGTCACTCGTTCATTATGATAACCTTTGCTACTGTGCTCTACAAGCGTATCAGAAGTTGCAGAATATGCCCACACAATGTAAATTGGCATTCCTTTCTGTAACAAACGAAAAATTGCGAGAGGAATTGAATTTTGATGAAGCTAGCATATGGGAACTCTTAATAGGTTACAAAATATTTAACATCGTAGTGGTGGAAAGCTAACTTTTGCTTTTGGTGGATTAGGAGGATACCACTGATTACCTGGATAACAACATCCATTTCGTCGTTGGTGTTAAGCTTGCGATAAAATTGGAACTTTGTTATACCATCATTTTCACTAGAGTAAGTCAACTTCCAGTCTTGTTTAGCATCCATGTCAGGTTTTCTTAGACCGTTTGTTTTATAATCCTGGAAAAAAGGTAGACGATTAGATGGATATATAAAAGAGCGAGAAGTGACTGAACTGAGGCAACACAGCAGATCGGATGCGGTAAGGGTATACCTTCCTTCCTTTCCATGAGGGTCTTTGATTTTCATTATGAAAATCAATTAGAGCTGTTGTTTGACAATTTCTGTACTTAACTAAATAACTCTTCATTTTCTACTGCCAACAAACCTCCAAGGTTCCCACTCCGTTCTTAACTGTTCCAATGGCCACATCGTATCCCATCATACCCATAGGAAATTTTGTTGAAAATCCAAACGCAATCCATCCCGTGGCTCTCACTTCTATCGTAAAGTGTAACGTGTCCATGCTACTATTGTAAATCCAGGAAACTTTATAATTTCCATTTTGGAGATTCAGAAAGCTCGGTTGCGGAGGCATGACTGGCATAGAGGCAGTCGCCATCATTATTGTCGGCGTTGGAGCGATAGCTGGGATGAGTGTGACGCTGTAAACCCCTCTATAGTCATTGCCATGGTGTTTAAGCTCGTCGCTCATAGGATGATATGCCCACACGATATAAATTGGCATTCCTTTCTGGAAGAGGTAAATGAAAACCAATGTATACTCATATATGCAGGCTGCTATCATTTTAAAGTAACAGAAGAAACGTCTTTCGCACTCGTTCGATTTCAAAAGGTGTCTGAAATATGGCGCATCAACGAGAACGAGGGAAAAGCGGTCGGTTAGTGTTAAATACCCTGGCCTGCGAATCGAGAGGTCTGCGTTGAAGACCGATCGGTCGTTGCGTTAAGCCCACGATTATCAGAGCGGATACCATCAAAGAGGTAGGATCGCATCAGAAAATTGGGGGGGGGGGGGGGGGATTTGACAAATCGGGGTTTGAGTAGAAGGAGTAACAATATTCACAATCAATTTGTGCTGCAGTAACTATCGTATTATCAAGCAGCTTTATTTGAGTCAATTGATCAGCAGTACTAGACCCTTCACATCCACGACGGAGGCGGGATTCTTCTTAATTGGAGTGTTATTGTCCCCCTAATAAAGATATTACTAAAGGTGAAAGTACGGGCTATATCTACCCATACCCTTGCTTTACATCACTTTTTAGTGTTTGCACCATGTCGTTGGTACATTGAGACCTGGAGACACTATCGTTGGCAAACCTAGAATAACATGAAAAGACAGGATCTTCGAGCAATTTTTGATGAAGGAACATGACAGTGTTCTTTTACACTTCCTTTCACGACCACGAACGACACAATTTTCAGAGGTGATTTAAAGTCAGTTAGACTCTTACCGGAATAGCGGTATCATTTTGAAGGTCAGTGGTGTTTCGCATGCGGTAAAATTTCAACGTCGTCACATTGTTCGCTTCACTCGCGTTCATGAGCATCCAATCTTGTTGGGTATCTAGTCGGGGTAGCGTGCGGCCAACTGTAAGATAGTCCTGGAAGAAATCGAGGCAAAGGGTATTACCACTTCGATGCAGTCATCGCAATAAAATTTTAAATCGGTCGGACTTACGTCAAGTTTTGTCATGATGAGTACCTGCAATTTTGCTGGATACAAATTTGCCAATTCTTACGTACCTGCAGATAGCTTGTTCCGTTATCTCTCACTCCTCCTATTGCCACATCATAGTAACTCATATTATTTGGAGCTACTTCGGCAACACCGAAACCAACCCAACCTGTGGTTCTCACTTGTACCATAAACTCCAATTTGTCTGAGTTTGCGTTATAATAATAGGAAACATTGTAATTTCCTTTGCCATCAAGCATGATAAGGTCGGAATGTAGCACTGGCTGGACTACAGCTGTGGATGGTACCATCATCATAGTCGGCGTTGGAGCGATAGCCGGGATGAGTGTGACACTGTAAACCCCTCTATAGTCATTTCCATGGTGTTTAAGCTCGTCGCTCATAGGATGATATGCCCACACGATATAAATTGGCATTCCTTTCTGGAAGAGATAAATACAAACCAATGTATACTCATACATGCGGGCTGCTATCATTTTAAAGTAACACAGGAAATACTGATGGAAATATTGATTTTTCATAAAAAAGGATTATCTAATGTAATCTAAATTCCTTGCGTTGTGTTGAGTTATGAAGCATTGCAGCGAGATTAAAAATGAATAATCTCTATTTTGGCTTAATAACCATGAATAAACGGAAAATCTTTGGCACTCGTTCGATATCAAAAAGGTGTCTGACATATGGTGCATCAACGAGAACGAGGGAAAAGCGGTCGGTTAGTGTTAAATACGCTGGCTGGCGAGTCGAGAGGTCTGCGTTGGAGACCGATCGGTCGTTGCGTTAAGCCCATCGACTATCAGAGCGGATACCGCCAAAGGGCTAGGGTCGCATCAGGAATGTTGAGGGGATTTGACAAATCGGGGTTTGAGTAAGAGGAGTAACAATATTCACAATCAATTTGTGCTGCATAAACCAGGGTATCATCAGGTAGTGTTATTTGGGTCAATTGATTAGCAATACTAGAAACTTTACACCCACGACGGAGGCAGGATTCTTTTTGGAGTGTTGTTGTCCCCTTTATAGTGATATCACGAAAGGTGAAAATACGGGCCATATCTACCCATACCCTTCCCTTTCATCACTTTTCAGTGTTTGCACCATGTCTTTGGTACATTGGGACCCGGAGACACTGTCGTCAGCAAACCTTGAGTAACATGAAAAGATAGGATCTTCGAGTACTTTAATAAAGGGTTATGACAGTGTTCTTTTACACTTTCTTTCACGACCACGAACGACACAATTTTCAGAGGTGATTTAAAGTCAGTTAGACTCTTACCGGAATAGCGGTATCATTTTGAAGGTCAGTGGTGTTTCGCATGCGGTAAAATTTCAACGTCGTCACATTGTTCGCTTCACTCGCGTTCATGAGCATCCAATCTTGTTGGGTATCTAGTCGGGGTAGCGTGCGGCCAACTGTAAGATAGTCCTGGAAGAAATCGAGGCAAAGGGTATTACCACTTCGATGCAGTTATCGCAATAAAATTTTAAATCGGTCGGACTTACGTCAAGTTTTGTCATGATGAGTACCTGCAATTTTGCTGGATACAAATTTGCCAATTCTTACGTACCTGCAGATAGCTTGTTCCGTTATCTCTCACTCCTCCTATTGCCACATCATAGTAACTCATATTATTTGGAGCTACTTCGGCAACACCGAAACCAACCCAACCTGTGGTTCTTACTTGCACCATAAACTCCAATTTGTCTGAGTTTGCGTTATAATAATAGGAAACATTGTAATTTCCTTTGCCATCAAGCATGATAAGGTCGGAATGTAGCACTGGCTGGACTACAGCTGTGGATGGTACCATCATCATAGTCGGCGTTGGAGCGATAGCCGGGATAAGTGTGACACTGTAAACCCCTCTATAGTCATTTCCATGGTGTTTAAGCTCGTCGCTCATAGGATGATATGCCCACACGATATAAATTGGCATTCCTTTCTGAAAGTGGTCAAAGAATAGCCAATGAAAATATAAAAGAAATGCTGAAAATATATTTTATTGCTGATCAAGATCAGGGTATTAGATAGTGTTGAATGTTATGAGGATTTCGATTGGCGTCATGATAATGTTCTGCACTTTCAAGATAGCGGGTCGGAACCTTGTTGTTTCGCTGGGCTACCCACACCCTTGTTCCTGCTTTTCTACAAACTTTTTTGGCACGTTTTTGGTACATGGAACAAATTGGAAACAATATCAAGAAACATATTTCATGAAAAAAAAACCAGCAATGATAGCGTTCTTTTAACGCTTTTATGGAAAGGAGATAAACTTTGGTCGTTTAGCTAACAGTTAACACCATTTTAACTTTACTGAGGAACATCGTAACGAACAATCGTACCGGAATAGCGGTATCATTTTGTAGATCAGTGGTGTTTCTCATGCGGTAAAACTTTATCGTTGTAATGTTATTTTCCTCCGTAGCGTTCATGAGCATCCAATCTTGCTGAGTATCTAGTTGTGGTAATTTCCGGCCAACTGTCAGATAGTCCTGGAAGAAATTAAATGAAGGGAATACGTTACTTTTAAAAAATCGTAACTGTTGTACATTTATTTTCTAGACATTAAGGTAAAAATTCTCTCTGGTGTTGGATTTCTCTGATGAAATTCCAGCTTGGAATTAGATAAACCCAGGGCAGGAAAAATTAACCAAAAGTTACTTACTTCGCTTCGCGTCGTGGTTTCCTACGCTTATCTCATGTTCTCCCAACCTCCCGTGTGTTTACATCAGGCTATGTAAACACGGAAGCCATTTTACATTTCTTTTATAAAACTTGAAAATCTCAGTTTGGATAAGTATCATTTTACTCACAGCGAGTTCTTTTTAAAGTACTCTGAAGTAGCTCTAACACTGTAATTAGCTGACAAATATCTTCAAATTTAAATTATGTAGAGGGCAAAGGTAACAAAATCAAATAGTACGAAGTATTCCCACTTAGCCCCTCATATTGTCCACATCATTTGTAAATGGTGAGGCTATCGAATACAGATTTATCTCTTGGTTTGAGAATTATAACAGATCATGCCTTGTTCCTAATAGATGAATTAAAAAAAATCTAATGCAACTTTGTTTCTGCGTTTAGACCTACCATTTACTCTATAATCCGTACCGAAAACAAAAAATTTCTTTTCATCCTTTCTCTGATGAGAACTGAAACTCTTGCTCCGTTTACAGGGAGAAAGCGCCATTTTTAATTTATCCAGCTTAATGTAAACACCTCTATCACCGAAATGTAGCAAATTAATTTGTCTTTTATATAACATAGCAATTCTTTCCTAACGGTCTCTTGCAAGTTGAGTTGAGTTTTTCATGTCGGTAGAAACAACTCCGCATTTCATGCCTCAACTTCTCTGTGTCATGTATGACTCGATAATACCGAGCTTCAGCACGACGGCTTATTCTATGTTTAGCAGAATCCGGAAGTAACGTCACTCGAGGAAACTTTTAATTTCGATTGACAAGTTCTATTGCTCGTTTCTTCTATCAATTTCATTTATCCTTCCTTCAAAGGGGTTACTGTGACCGCTGAAAGGAGTGTAATTCATACAAATTAAATGGGATTAGAACTTTGAAAATGATCGCTTAGTAGAGGATGAGCCCTGAAAACGGTTTTCTCGATACACATTTGAGTAATTAAGAGAAAAAACTATAGTGCACACACACATTAAATTGACGAACTTTTAAAGGTTGCGCCACAACTGTATGCGGGTATTTAGGCCTAGGAAGCACGGTGTACGAGTTAAACTTCAGTCCTTCTATGCTTGGATTATTTTTGCGGCCTCAATTTATCTGCAGTTGTTTTCTATGCACTTTGTTTTGTCATCCACAGGTAACGCACAACTTGTTTCATATTTCATCAATTTGTTATCTGACCTCAAGCAAAACCAGAGGACATCAGTGATACGCCGAAGAACCTCTAAAGCTTCAAAGCTTTGTAATATAACAAAAAAATGAAAATAAAATGCAGATAGCTGTAGTTAGACGGATCGCTTTCTTCAAAACATTTTTTACTAAAGAACGATAATTGAATAATGCTGTCACCTGGTTAAGGTGATCGAAACGCTTTTGGCACAGATCATGAGTTGTTGAGCATTACACGAATTTTCTTGTCCATTTACAACAGGTGTAATTGGAAAACACAACTTGAACTCCGAGCTTCAAATTAGTTTTACTCTATGTTCAATGTAAAGTGATAAACAGGGATTAAAAACTCTGAAAACTATAAATTAACTGAACTGAAAATTACGTAGATGATTGTCAATAAAAGTTCAACAATCAAGGAAGGGTATCAATAAAACTCCTTGCTTATGTTTTTTTTTGTATGAAACTAAAAATACGGTATGCTTATCAAGAGAATATCTACAATACGACTTTTTGACGTCACAACCCTCAGGGGTTATTTTAATTAAAATTTCAGTCCCTTCTAGGCGAAGACACGATTCTTAAAGTCATGCATTGTTTACGCATTTAACAAATCCATCATTAAAAATGTTGGAGTTTCATGCGAAAATCTTTTCTCATGGGAAGTAAACATGCGTTACACTTGTTTTAATGAAATTTCCAAGCCAAGTTCAAATTTTCGTGTTCTGAGGACATTAGGTAACTACTATTAAGCGAGATAACAAGCAATGAAGGTTTATTTTATTAATCGTTTTTCTCTTTGCCAGCCAAAGTTGAATCTACATGACAGCCCACTCTACATATGCACGGCTTTGTCGTTTGTTTTGTAATTGCAGTTGTGTGATGACTCAGCGTAAGCATTTTGAAGGTTGTCATGGTAATGCTCCAAACATTATAATAACAAGTAGGATATTTGTGATGAAGATGGTGGTCAAAAATATATCGGAAATGATCAGTCATTTCAAAATACAATAAAATAACGATTGTAGGTTTTGACGACATTCCAAAGTCTTTCGAGCGTGCAGGATAATGTGCCGGAAAGAGATATCTCTCACATCACTGATATTCTTCGTTTCTTCGCTAACTATTTGTTCCCGCAATAGGAAACGTTTGTGAATCTCAGAAAAAGCGCTAAAACAGGCTCTGAATGCCAAAACGGTTCCCCTTACGTTTCTGGCATTCAACAAGACTGCACAGTTAATTCGATGATGTTTGAACGATCGGCAAAAATTAAGTGCAATTACCTAGCGGCTTTATTCGGATATGAAACTTCTTGTAATCTAATGAATATTCAATGCCTGAGGCGATTTTACTGAATCATGGTAATTTGAATAAGTTACGTCATTCGACACACGCAATGATAGAGTTTTATCTTAATTTTTCTACCGAAAAAAAAAAATTTTTTTTAAAACCTTGTATACCCGGCTTTAATTTATCTTCAACCGAATGTGGAAAAAAAACGAAGCTGAAGCTAAAAAATAAAAATAGGATTAAACACTATTGATAAAAGACGAAATTTGTCAAACAACAATATTTGAGTATACTAATACTCAAATGGTCTAAGCTGTTTTCTATAAACAATAAACATGTCGTTTCTCTCTAAATTAAGAGACTGGAATCCGTATCCTTACTAAACTTTGTAATTTAAATTTTTTATTATAATTTTAAACATTTTTGCAATCAGAAATTAAAGCGTCCTATCGTTAAAGGGATTATAAAAGAAATCAGACAAAAAACGTAACATGCGTGACATAAAATGTTATATCGAACTCGCGGTTTTTTTCCTTTATTTTTAGATAGTTTAAAGTTTTGTTATTCCGACCTACCTGCAGATAGCTTGTTCCGTCATCTTTCACTCCTCCTATTGCCACATCATAGTTACTCATATTATTTGGTGCTACTTCAGCAACACCGAAACCAACCCAACCTGCGGTTCTTACTTGCACCATAAACTCCAGTGTGTCCGTAGACTCATTGTAGTTGTAGGAAACATTGTAATTTCCTTTGGTATCGAGCATGATCATGTTGGAATACATGTTATACATACTGCTACTTTTTGTGGAAGCCACAAACAGCGCTAAAATACACAACCGTACAACAGCCATTTTCCTCGTCAAAGATCGGCCTCGCCTTCACTGAGGAACAGTAGCCTTGAATGACTGTGCATTTTCGTACTTTTCCGTTTTATAGCCTTTTTTCTAATCACTTACGTAACCAATATCTGCTGGTGGTATATTTTGTATTTTTACTTTTTTTTAGCTTCAAAACAAGCTAAGTGCGATAACAAAGAACAGGAAGCAGCAATTAGAGGAAAAAAAAAAAGATATGCGAAGAGAATATTCAAGTGGAAAGTTTTCTGTTATATCAGGATAGGAAACCAAGGAAACCAGTTGTTTTCTGACTGAGATATTTCCTTTTAAGGTGAATCTGGAGACACCAGAACTAAATCATGCAAAAGCTGGAAACATTTGGTAACTTGAGCACGGAGATCTTAATTACTATTCTAATAAAGGAAAGTGATAAACTGCAAGCGAATGAAGTTAAAGAAGGGTAGAAAATACATAGGTAAAAAAGTGACATCTTAACCAGGTGGAAATTAGCCAATGATATCTGAAAAACATCCAAAAAGAAAAATTTATTTAAATTTAGGCAATTGGTCGGTAATTTTGGACCTACCAATAACAAATAAGCGCTGGTCTTAAGGCGTGAGTCCAGCATTGGAACATTTTTGGTCCAGTAAGGTAAATTAATCAATTACCTTTGTTTTCAACCAATATTGACACAAGGTTTTCCCAATTTGAAAACACATATACTTGACTTTACGTTTAAATATGTTGTCAATATATATGATGACTCTCAAGCTCAAGAAAATTGATCAAGCCACGTCACTGTTTGTTTACCTTGAAAAATGTAGCTTGACTTTGTAAAGTTTCTCATTTTGCAATCAGCGTCACTGAGTTCTTTCGATTATATGACATCTGCGTTAATTTCAAAATCGACTTGATTAACTAGGCATTTTTACGAGAGACCAGTGTTCACTCAGAGGACCAGCAAAAGGGCAATTTAATGTAATTTTTTTTTAATAAATCTTAATTACCTAGCCTTCCAGACCTCGGCGGCAAATTTTTGTCTTCGTTCAGCCGTAACGAACTGTCCCTTGGTATTTTCCAACGTTTATCATTGCATAGAAATATTACAGCTTATTGCACATGGCTTGCGCGTAGTCTGTTACAGTCAAGATTGACAGAAAGTGCATGAGGTATGACAACACGAAGGCGAACATAGCTCTTCATTGTCTAGCTCTACAGCCTAAATCTTTGTTTTATTACTTAAATGTCTTCTATGTAGAAGATCAATTAATTTAAGCAGCAGTATATCATAGCATTGTTGTTCAATTAAGTATAGTTACTTTTTAGCCCGCAAGAACCTCAGCATTGTACTTCAATCTAAGGCTCCCTGGGGTTAATTCTTAATTAGCTGTTTCGCTTCTGCGTTCATTTATGGGGTCGGCAAAGAATCAAGGTCCGGCGTTTCATCGCACATTCTGAGATCTGCAATTTGTGAGTACCTGAAAAGGTTGGAAATATCATGCAAGGTCAGTGGTATTAAGGAGTGGTATTTGACTTATCGCGGACACCACAGGGTAGAAAAATTGTCATTTGAAAACATGTAAATGTTAGGCAAAACATGGGCAGTTGCAGTACAAAACCTCTCAACCCATAAAGATTCAATCGAACTGGCTAACCGTTTCTCCCTTGTGTTATATATTCAAAGAGGGTGTATAAGTGGGAACATAAGATAATAAGACGGACCGGGTAAAACTGATTTAAGCTTATCAAGATCAAGCATTTGAGAATCAATTTTTTTCTAGTTTCTGTGTCACATCCCACTAAGAGGTCTGATCAGTGTAAAGAGAGGTAATAACATGATTCAAGTGCTATTTGGTGTTAAATTTGGTTGCTTCTCCATCTCTGTCGCCAATTTTTATTCTGATAGCGAGTGCTCTCTCCATACAGTCTTTACAATAGTCAAATTGATGTAAGGAGTAGTTTTCCTAGGCTTCCGTAACATTGTGCTCTTTCTTGTGCATTTCCAGTCGTTTTAGCAGAATCAAGCATTCTTCACACAACAGGATGGCTTGTAGGACAAAACCAGTGTTGAGAAGGAAAGTGGTGACAGCTAAACCGATGTTGGTAGCTGACGTGGTTAATTCTTTTCCTGTGTTCTCCATCATATCTCTCTTCGCTGTTGGTTTGAAAATGAATGGGACGCAAATATGAAACATTTGAGGTGGTGATTCAAAACATTTCAAAGCAATCCCTGGACTCTAAGTCTAAAAAAAAAATTGTGCACGAAACCTTAGCTTACAATCTGATGCACCGAGCTACCTAACGGGTCAGTGATTACAGCGTCTGAAGGCTGCATATGGGTTGGACAATTCACCTGGAAACTGGTCTACAAGACACAGAAATTTGACGTACGTTCATGTTTGCGCCACCCGTGTCAGAAGTTTTAGGGTAGAATAATGTTTTTCTCTTGACTCAATGCTTTTACCATTAAATATTGAAAATATGAAATAAAGTATTTAAAATTTGATTATCTTCAATCTCCACACTAGTAACTTATTGATTAAACCGTCGTACTGGATATGAAATTTAGCTTCTTCATTTTTGTAATGTAGCAAAGGCAGTAACAAAAATTCCTTTTTGAGTTTTGATTTAAGGTTACTGTCAATAAAATCTGGTCAAATTTTTAAACTTTCGCTTCATTTGCTCTCTAGTTAGGGCCAAAAACATTGAAACTAAATTTGCTGGAAAAAAAGTTTTAAAACTTTTCTTCTGCACTTTATAAGCTTTTCAGTGATGTATAGTTCCCCATGGTCTCTTTGAATGTAGGGCGCGGAAAACGATTTTTACAAATGTTTTTCCAAAATTTTTCTTGTCTTCTTACATTTCGATGTTTCAGTGAACACTTTGATGAGCATTTGTCGTCTTTACTTGAACTCCCTCGACGAGGCCGTACAACTCATGATCATCAAGGCAGGCAAAGCGCTGAAGTTTCTCTCTTGCTTCCTTTTTATTCCTAGCGGGGGATGTGGGGGGAGGGAAGAGGGGAGAAGAGGTAGGGAGTATTGCAAAAACTTCGAGTTTGAAATGTTTTCAAACTGCACCGGCAAACATGAGAAGTGTGACGTCACAACTAGTTGTGTTTACATATTCTCATTTTAACTGACCAGATGATCATCTCAATTATTACATAACCGTTAGTAATTTTGTCTTTGATCATGCAAATCACACCCGCTATAAAATGAAAATTTACGAAGACCAGGAGTCGATTATCACGCACAGATAGCTTATCGGTAAAAAGAAAGAAGCTTAAATTTTGTTTTACGTTTTACTGGTATCGATCTTGTGATGGAAATCCAACTTTCCAAAGGGATGGACACAGAAGCCTGACGTTCCCTGTTAAAATAGAATAAAAAATAAGTTATCATGTTCAATTCCATCATTGGTCATAAAAGTGTGACGTACAAAACCAGAATTCATTCTCTCGAGTTGGATCACTTAGATCTTCTGAGTAAATGCTGATTCGCTCTCCATATCTCCTTCTCATTAATTCATCCTTAGTGGTCGATTTTCGTTTTGAATTTTCGAAAGTCGCATAATAACTGGGCAGTTTAACTCTCACCATCTTCCGCAAGATATATTTCTAATTTGTATCAACATTTTGTGAAATGAGAATCATTTATTCACGTCTCGTACAAAATGAATCACTTAAGGAAAAAAAAACATACCATTTTGATCTTTTTCTCGATCGTATTTGATAATTTATCAGTTCTTATTCTCAGTGATTTTTTTAAATACTTCTGATCACAATTTCATTTTTCCAAATCACAAATTGGCAGTAACAGTGTTTGAAAGATGGTCTTAATAAGGTTAACCGTGAGCCGTAAAACGGCCACAAAATTTAACTGCTAAGCGTAAAAATTGTCAAATTTTAACCGTTAGTCGTGAACAAAATTAACTTCAAAAAAAAAAAAAATTTCAGGTAACAACTCATGGAATGAAGTTAACCGTTAGTCGTAAAATAGCCAAAATTTTAACCGTTCGCCGTAAAAGCCATCACCTCATTTAGATCCTCCTTCTACTAGTGAACCCATAATTCTCAAATGCGACTTTTGACCGTGTAGCCTTGGAAAATGGAATTTCCCCGAATTTGGAGAAATCAGGTAATGCCGACATCAATACTAAATTAAACGGGAAGCAAGCTTGTCAAGCTCGCAGTTGTTTATTACTTTTGGGAGAAGGGAGAACCAAAGCCATATTGAATTTTTATCATTCAAATAATCGCTCGGTGTTAGTGTCCTCCAGAATTTTCTTGAAATTTCCTAAGGAAAAAAAAAGAAGAAAAAGGTTTCTGGAGAATGCCTTGCAGATGCGCAGATCCTACAACGTTGCTTTTGTCCAGTCCATTTCTTCCACCTCTCTCCCCTTCCCAAAAGAAATAAGTTAAACTTATGACTACTGTTTATTACTGAAAGTCAAGGTACTCTCGCTTATGTTATTTATTTATTTCCATATTTCAGTCACCGGATCAACCCCTTCAAGTGGAAAACCAGTAATATTTTTGAGCAAAGTACCCGATCCACTCCGTCCGTCCGTCCGTCCGTTTTTTTTTTTTTTTTTAACTTATTACAACAGTTAGTATTGTTGTATTCGATCATACAAATCATACCCGCAAGAAAACGGAGTACAATGGGTAATGATCAGTTTTCACGCACAGATAGCTTACTGTTTAATTTAAAGATAAAAGCTTTAGTTTTACTCGATCTTGTAATAAAAATCCAACCGTTCCAAAGGGGATGAACACTGAAACCTGACGTCTCGGTTAAACAGAGTGAGATGTTTTATTTTTGCATGCTAAAATCCATCATTGGTTATAAAAGCGTGAAACCAAAATACAGTCACTCAGTATTTTAGCAATTTTGGGTTTTTTTTTTCGCTAAAAAATGAAAAGTTCACAAAGACAATGAGCCGATAATCACCCAAAGATAGCTTACCGTTTTAAAGAGAGAAAGTTAGTTAGGTTGTACTGTGATCAATCTTGTGATGTAATTATGTCTCGTTTCGAGCGTTCGCCCTTCATTAAAGCTGTTGATGGCGCGATTCAATCGCTAACACAGTGAAATAAATTCTTTATTCAGTGGTTTTCGCAAATCTCTGTGGATTTATACCGTATAATTAATCCTCATTAACTAATGTTATTGAATATCGTTCAATTTGAGAAATTGATGATCATAAAACTAAAATCAGACCTCTATTTATGTTGTGGACTGTCCCTCACTGAAGGAAATCCATGGTGCTTCATTACGTGGTTTTCCAGTGGCTTTGATCTGCATTAGCTATTAACTTGTCTCTGTTTTAGGAGGGTTGAACGAACGATTCAGAGATCGCGCTAGATTCGAATTGAATTTCCGTTTTCTACTTATACACAAGCGTTTCATGGTCGAAATACCCTTCACTTAAATCTTTGGATTCTAGCGGCGGGTTCTACAAATTTTTTTCAAGGGCGTAATCTGTTTCTTTGTCTGTTTAAGTGCCAGAGTCTCGCAGAAGAGGATAAGTCATGACGCTGCGCGCTCACGAAGAGAGACGTTTTAATTTTCTTAGAGAGACTAAAACTTTCTTAAATTCACTTTTTTGACATACATAATATAAGCGTACTTTTCCGTTGAACGGATGCTTCATATTTCCACCGTTAAATTACTTTCTTCAAACCTTTATGGTTTTATACAATATATTTCAACCTCATTAGCTATGCTTGTTAAGTATTGTTTAATTTGAGAAACTGATGATTTCCTCAATCATGTGGTCAAAAACTAAAATGAATCCTATATCAAGATATATTTATAATGCCGACTGTCTTTACTACTGTCAGAGGATATTCGCAGTGTTATAGTTCGTGGTTTTCCAGTGTCTATAATTTCCGTTAGTGATTCAAGTGACCTTGTTTGCTTTTCGTGAAAGTACCAAGGTCTCCCATAATAAGAGAGGTCAGTCTATGACACCGCGTGCTCACGAAGAAAGATGTTATAATTCTCTGGGAGGAACTGGAAAAAGCGTAACTGATCACTGCGCTTACTTTTCAGATGTGATTAGTTTACCATGCCCAGCCGTTAAATTGGTTGAGAAGTATTGTTAGGCTTTCAAATGAACTCAAACAACATTCGCTCTGAAATCTAAATGTTTTGTCATTGCTATTCCACGAACTCATAATTAAATCCTTTCATAAATGTGGGAGAAGGAAGATTACAATCCTTTTACTTCCATCACGTTATCAGGTTACTGGTAAAATGACAACCGAAACATTTCTCTATCTCTTAAACGGTCAAAAACGTGCAGAACAGTATATTGTGGTTTTAAAATTAGTCAAGATGTTTTCAAGGGAAGGTGGCAACTGTTTTTATTGTTTTTGTCGTTTCACTTTCGTAAGTATCAACTGCGACATCGGTAATTTTGTATTGCTTTTTTAGAGTAACTATACCGTAGCTTGAGGTTTAACTTGTAAGGTTACTTGTGGTATGAGTAACGTTTTAATTGCAAAGGCTTAAAATGATTGCTTATTTGTCCTGTCCTGTCCTAGTACTATTAAGTCACGACATGTTGTGCAAAAATTGGCACCGGGTGAAATGAATTCGTCGCAAAGCATTGTGGCCTCACAAATTATTTATCATTCTTATCAGCTAAGAATAGATTCATTTCAGTGACATCAGTCATGTGATAAGTAAGCTCGTTACTTAGTAACAGCCTGCTGAAACAATATTTTGCTACAACTCATGGAATATTGATAACCGTTAGTGGTTAAATGGCCAAAATTTTAACCGTCAGCCGTAAAAGCCATCACCCCATTGAGACCCTCCTTCTACTACAGTACTACAGTGCGCCCATAATTCTCAAATGCGACTTGTTTGGCTTTGACCGTGTAGCCTTGAAAAATGAAATTTTCCTGAATTTGGAGAAATCAGGTAATGCTAACATCAATACTAAATTTAAGCGGGAAACAAGCTTGTCAAGCTTGCAATTGCTTGTTATTTTTTTCGAATACAATGAAGAACCTTAGTAATATATAATTGTTATCATTCAAATAATCGCTCGGTGTTAGTGCCCTTTCGGGAAAAAAATGTTAAAGCAGCGGGAATTGCCGTTGGGAGTTTTCAGGAGAGTGCCTACTGGATGCGGGGATCCTACAACGTAACTGTAGTCCAGTCCATTTCCCCCACCTCTCTCCCCTCCTCAAAAGAAATATGAATAACTATTTGCTATAACTATGGATTATTAATGAGAGTCAAGCTACCTCTCTCTCTCTCTCTCTCTCTCTCTCTCTCTCTCTCTCTCTCTCTCTCTCTCTCTCTCTCTCTCTCTCTCTAATGTAATTTGCTTGTTGCCACATTTTAGTCACTGTATTAACGCCCTTAAACGTAAAACCAGTGATGTGGTTAATTTCGAGCAAATCACCGATCCACTCCGTCCGTTTTTTTTTTTTTTTTTTTTTCTTTTTTTTTTTTACTATAACAGTCAGTATTTTTGTCTTCGGTCGTGCAAATCACACCCGCAAGAAAATGAAAAGTTCATGAGTACAATGGATGAATTTCCTAACACAAGAAGCTTACTGTTTCAAGACAGAAGCTTTAGTTGTACTCTCGATCTGATCGATCTCGTGTTACAAATTCAACCGGTCCAAAATGGATGAACACTGAAGCCTGACGTTTCCTGTTAAACAGAGCAATATTTTTCATTTTTGGATGCTAAAATCCATCATTAGTTAGAAAAGTGTGACGTGCCAAACTTGCCACTCAGCTTTTTTTAGTATTTTTGGCTTCGATTATGCAAATCACACACGCTAGAAAAATGAAAAGTTCACGAATTCGTGAAGACAATGAGTCGATTATCAATCAAAGATAGCTTACGGTTTAAAGAGAGTAACTTATTTAGGTTGTACTGTGATCGATCTTGTGATGAAAATCAAACATTTCAAAGGGGTAAACACTAAAGTCTGACATTCCCTATTCAAGAGTTGAGAAAAGTCCCGACTGGAATTCGTTATTTTTGTAATTTCATTTTCAAAGCATCAGCCACATCGTCAACATCTTGTTACGTGCCATTGATCTGAAAATCTTTTTTGGTCACTTGGTTTTTATCAGCTATCGTTATTTAGTAACTGTAGAGAGGTAAGGCTCTTATGGAAAAGCCCAGTAAATGCTTTTTCGGTCCTTGTGTTTTCAATATGTAATTGTCTCGTTTCGAACGTTAGCCCATCATTAAAGCGGTTGATGGCGCGATTGAATCGCCATCACAGGGAAATAACTCCTTTCTGCGAAGACTATTTCAAATCTCTGTGACTTCATACCGTATAATTTATACTCATTAACTAAGGTTATTGAGTATCGTTCAATTTGAGAAATGATGTGATGATCATGAAACTAAATTCAGACCTGTATTTATGTTGTGGACTGTCCCTCGCTCGGAGGAAATCCGTGATAATTCATTATGTGGTTTTCCAGTGGCTATGATCAACATCAGCTATTAACTTGACTTTGTTTTAGAAGAGCTCAACGAACGATGGCACGACCCCCCGACACACGACCATCAGTCAAACTCAAGCGCGAGTCTTTTTTTTTTTTTTTACTTGATATGATGAACAAACGAAACAGCTAGATCAAAACTCACTTGGATAACAGTTGACTTTCACAGCGTGAAATTCACACAGTTCGTTTTCAAGAAAACAGTGCAGGTCAAATTAATTTTACAAGTTTCACCGAATGTGATCCGTTGATGTGCTCCAGTTGTACTTATCACACGTCTTCTTCACTTATTTTTCGTTTTAATTCGATGTTATGAATTCTAACACTTTCAGCTCGTTACAAAAAGTTTCCAGCCCGTTTTGGTAACTTCACATATGGGTTCCTGTTTGCAGTGACTCAATTTGAATCCAGATTATTGAGTTATTCTGTTAACTTTTGTTATTAAAATAATGTTTTCCTTATAACAGGATAGGATGGCAATGGTGACCTATCGGCAGAAGCCATGATAGCTTTCATGAACATCGCCTATCTAGTTGCCCTGTTCCTGCTCAACTCAGATCGCACTCAGAAAGCCATTGAGATATGCAGCGAATGTTTGATTTTGCTAGATGGCACCGATCAAAACAGCAAAGACCTATTTAATTCACTACTGCTGCAATTTTACAGCGCCTTCAATTTACTTCTTTTTAGCGCTTATTGTCTTATCTCTGACCATAAACGTGCGGAAAGATACGGCAGGAAACTGCTTGTCTTATACAGCGAGTCTGGTGACTTAGTAAAAGGAGGAGATGTAAGCTTAGCTCTAGCAGAAGTAGTTTAGGGTCAAAACAGGTTTACAAATGCCAAACAACTTTACAAAAAAGTACTTAATATCAAGAGACAAACTGGTGAACAAATTGGCGAAGCAAGAGCCTTCGCAAGATTCGGAATTGTGCTTTATAAACTTGGCGAGAACCTAAAAGCGAAGGATTATGTTGAGAGGGCCCATGCCATAGCAACCGAAATTGGCGACAAAGAAGGAGAAGCATCCTGTTGCGAAAACCTGGGAGCATTGCTTCATTCGCGCGGGGAATGCGACACGGCTAAACAGTATCTCCAAAGAGCGATTGTCATCAGAACTGAAATTGGCGACAGAGAAGGAGAGGCAACTGACTGAGGATCTCTTGGTTCTGTGTTTCAGTCGCTCGGGCAATACCACAAGGCTGAAGAGTATCTCCAAAAAGCGTTTGTCATCACAACTGAAATTCGCAACAGAGAGGGAGAGGCAACTGACTACGTAAACCTAGGAACTGTGTTTCACTCTCTGGGGCAATGCGGCAAAGCTAAAGAACATCTCCAAAAAGCTCTTACCATCAGATCTGAAATTTGCAACAGAGAAGGAGAGAAAACTGACTATGGAAACCTAGGAACTGTGTTTCAATCTCTCGGGCGATGCGACAAAGCTAAAGAGCATCTCCAAAAAGCGCTTGTCATCAGATCTGAAATTTGCAACAGAGAAAGACAGGCAACTGACTATGGAAACCTAAGAACTGTGTTTCACTCTCTCGGGCAACACGACAAGGCTATAGAGCATCTCCAAAAAGCGATTGTCAGCAAATCTAAAATTGGCGACAGAAAAGGAGAAGCATCATGTTATGGAAACCTAAGAACTGTGTTGAGGTCGCTCGGGCAATAAGACAAGGCTATAGAGCACCTCCAAAAAGCGATCGTCATCACAACTGAAATTGGCGACAGAGAGGGAGAGGCAACTGTCTACGTAAACCTAGGAACTGTGTTTCAGTCGTTCGGGCAATGCGACAAGCCTATAGAGTATCTCCAAAAAGCTGTTGTCATCACAACTGAAATTGGCAACAGAGAGGGAGAGGCAACTGTCTACGTAAACCTAGGAACTGTGTTTCAGTCGCTCGGGCAATGCGATAAGGCTACAGAGTATCTCCAAAAAGCGCTTGTAATCAAATCTGAAATTGACGACAAAAAGGGAGAAGCATCATGTTATGAAAACCTAGGATCTGTGTTTCAGTCGCTCGGGCTATGCGACAAGGCTATGGAGTATCTCCAAAAAGCGATTGTCATCACAACTGAAATTGGCGACAGAAAAGGAGAAGCAATATGTTATGGAAAGCTAGGAACTGTAACGCACTCTCTCGGGCAATGCGACAAGGTTATGCAGTATTTCCAAAAAGCGCTTGCCATCACAACTGAAATTAGCCACAGAGATGGAGAGGCATTTTGCTACGAAAACCTAGGTATTGCGTGATGCTCCCTCGGGCAGTACGACAAGGCTAAAGAGTATCTCGAAAAAGCGCTTCTCATTGCAACTACAACTGGCAACAGAGAAAGAGAAGCATTATGTTATGGAAGCCTAGGTACTGTTTTTAAGTTGCTCAGGCGATACAACAAGGCTAAAGAGTATCTCCAAAAAGCGCTTGTCATCGCAACTGAACTTGGCGACAGAAAAGGAAAAGCATCGTGTTATAGTACCTTAGGTACTGTGTTCGAGTCTCTCGGGCAATACGACAAGGCTATAGAGCATCTCCAAAACGCGCTTGTCATCACAGCTAAAATTGGTGACAAAAAAGGAAAAGCATCATGTTATGGAAGACTAGGTACTGTGTTTAAGTCGCTCGGGCAGTATACGACAAGGCTAAAGAGTATCTCCAAAAAGCGCTTGTCATCTCAACTGAACTTGGCGACAGAAAAGGAGAAGCATCATGTTATGGAAGCCTAGGTTCTCTGTTTAAGTCGCTCGGGCAGTACGACAAGGCTAAAGAGTATCTCCAAAAAGCGCTTGTCATCACAACTAAAATGGTGACAGAAGAGGAGAAGCAATATATTATGGAAGCCTAGGTACTGTATTTCACTCTCTTGGGCAAGGCAACAAGGCTAAAGAGTATCTCCAAAACTCGCTTGTCATCAAATCTGAAATTGGCGACAGAGAAGGAGAGGCAACTGTCAACCGAAACCTAGGTGCTGTTTTTCACCTTCTCGGGCAATGCGACAAGGCTATGGAGCATCTCCAAAAAGCGCTTGTTATCACAACTAAGATTGGCGACAGAAAAGGAGAAGCATCAAGTTATGGAAACCTAGGTGTTGTGTTTTGGTGTCGCTGGCAATATAGCAAGGCTAAAGAGCATCTCCAAAAAGCGCTTGTCATTAGAACTGAAATTGGCGACAGGAAAGGAGAGGCAACTGACTGCGGAAACCTTGGTACCGTGTTTCATAACCTCGGGCAATACGACCAGGCTAAAGAACATCTCCAGAGAGCTCTTTTCATCACAACTGAAATTGGAGACACAAAAGGAGAGGCAGCTCACTACGGTAGCCTAGGTAACGTGTTTGGGTCTCTTGGGCAGTACGATAAGGTTGTAGAGCATCTCCAAAACGCGCTTGTCATCACAGCTAAAATTGGTGACAAAAAAGGAGAAGCATCATGCCATGGAAGCCTAGGTACTGTGTTTAAGTCGCTCGGGCAGTACAACAAGGCTAAAGAGTATCTCCAAAAAGCGCTTGTCATCTCAACTGAAATTGGCGACAGAAAAGGAGAGGCAACTAACTATGGAGACCTAGGTACTGTGTTTCAGTTGCTCGGGCAATACAAAAACGCTAAAAAGCATTTCCAAAGAGCGCTTACTATCAGTACTGAAATTGGTGATAAGCAAGGGGAAGCAGGAGATCTTGCAAACCTTGGATTTGTGTCTAGAACTGTTGGAGATTTTGAAGCCTCAGAAGTATGCTTGGTGAAAGCCTTATCCATATCCAGAAATATTGGAGACAGACGAAGCGAGTTCCAAATCCTTCGAGAATGCGCCATTTTGTATTTACTTCAAAATAAAATCAGAGACTCCCTTTGGTGTCTTCAACTGTGCATTGAAAAGTATTAGGAGCTAAGACATTTGTTGGGCGCCAATGATGTGTTCAAAACATCATTTCTGGAGGCTTCAGGAATATTTCCCTACAAGCTGCTTTGTGGTTTGCTTTGTGTCACCAGAAAAATTCGTGATGCTCCTTATGTTGAGGAGTTGGGTCGAGCTAGAGGCCTCTCAGCATGACTTGATGGCAGAAAAGTACTCGGTTCAAACGCACATTTCTGCTGATCCACAATCTTGGTTTGACATTGAGCACATTTTTAGAAAGGAAAATAACTGTACTTGTCTGTACATTTCTTATTTTCACGATCATCTGCGCTTGTGGATCTTGAAAACAAATGGAGGCCTTCACTTTAAAAGGATATCACTAAAAGAGACTCTAGCTCAGGCTGGGTTGCCCAAAGATTTGCCTTTGAGTCAATTTTTGGCTGATAATTTGCGCAGTCTTGGTATTTTGCCCATTGCAGATTGTGAAGATCGGTCTTTAGATATGGTTGAATTGCAACCTCTCTTCCCCAAACAAAAGAACTAGGCAAGATTGCGACTCGTAAAGGGGGACGAAAACGACGGAGTCACTTCAAGTTTATCTTTGTGTTACAAAATCTTTATTGCCCCCGTTTATGATTTAATTGAGGAGCCTGAAGTCATTATTGTTCCTGACCGCAGTTTGTACAAAGTCCCCTTTGCTGCCCTGAGTGAAAAAGAGGGAGCCGAATACCTGTCGGAGACCCATAGGATCCGTGTCATTCCTTCTTTGACAACATTCAAGATCATTCAAGATAGTCCAGAGGACTATCACAGCAACACTGGTGCCTTGATAATAGGCAATCCCAAGGTTTATTGGCTGCTGCCATTGCCAGGTGCAAGAAAGGAAGCGGAGATGGTTGGACGACTGGTGGGTGTTCCGCCTCTAGTTGAAGAGAAAGCAACGAAGCAGGCGGTGCTTGAGCACATAGGTTCAGTGAGCCTGATACATTTTGCTGCCCATGGTAACGCCGAAAGGGGAGAAATTGCCCTCTCCCCCATTCCTATTCCCGACAGTCAAAACGCTATCCCACCACAGGAAGCTTACATGTTGACGATGGCTGATGTCTCACGAGTGAAAGTCAGAGCTAAACTGGTGGTACGTAGCTGCTGTCACAGTGGAAGTGGACAGAAAAGAGCCGAGGGAGTTATAGGAATTGCCAGTGCGTTCTTAGAATCCGGTGCTCGCTCGGTGTTGGTTGCGCTGTGGGCCATTCCAGACTCAGCAACAGAGCAGCTGATGAGCCGGTTCTACGAACACCTCATTGAAGGAAGAAGTGCCAGTGAATCCCTTCATCAGGCCATGAAGTGGATGAGAAAAAACGGTTTGAACAAAATGTCTGAGTGGGCTTCGTTTACTCTGATTGGAGATGATGTGAGACTCGAGTTTGACAAGCAGCGGCAAGACTCGGCGAGAACAGGTATTTCATAAATTAAAGTGAAATTAGATGTGAGGATGGTTATGACTTACTGGTCGTTGACTGGATGGGGATCCTTTGTTACCTTGAACATCAAGGCTAGTTTAATATATATATATATATCTATATATATATATATGTATATAAATATAAATATATATATATATATATATATATATATATTTATATCTACATACACTTTTTTTTCCTTTCCGCTCACGGAGAGATGTTTTAATTTTCTTTAAATTTTTTTTACTCACCTTCTTCTAAATAGCTGTATGGAATGAGAGCGTTTGAGTGCACCACTCACCTTTTATCACGATAAGAGATAGCGGAAAAATAGATACTGCCCAGTATTTCCTTCATTCGGCGCGAAAATCTTAGCTGGCAATTGTTAGAGAGCAACATCCCCCTTTTTAATTTTGCAGTCCTATTTTGCCCCTTTATCTCTTTTTTCACCAGGAGTGCCTCGTTTAATCCGGTTGCTTGGTACGTTTCTGAGCACCTTCTGCGTTTCCGGATAACAAATATTTGAGGGATGGGATGATGTTTGTCGTGCTTTATGAGGGTCCCCCTAAATTTTTCTCTCAATACCGTAATCCCGACGGTTTATACCAGCCAATCCCGATCCCGATCAAAAAATTTTGTCTGAGTCCATTTCCTTCACTTAAGAGGGCGGTTTCAGTGGATGATGATTTTCTCAACCAGCATTAGTCCGTTGTGAGCTTCGCTCACTGTAAGGCTTAATTTTATCTCTTTTTACTAAAATGATGATATTTTAGAAGTTTTTGATTTTTGCACGAATAACGTGGGCTAGTCTTTGTAACGACTTTCTTCCCTTTAACTTCGATCACAGACAAACGTATTAATAAACACAGGTCAGTATCAGAGAGACGAGTAACAAAGTTAACTAGAACATAAAACCCAAAAGGTGACTGCAGTCCCATAGCTCTTAAACAAAGGAAATGAAGAAAAATTAACTGAACGCAATTCTAATGTTGAAGCGAGTACTTCTTCCAGAGCGGGAACCTCTTCCAAGGAGAAAACTAGCCTCTCTCTCCAAAGATGGAATGTTACCATCATCACTCGGCGAATCGTACTCTAATATTCCATCTTGCTCTTCGTCTTGTTTCCCGCTGTTTTCTTGTTGCTCCACGAAGTCAGAGCTATTGCCATCGTTGTTTCCAGTCTGACAGAGCGCCGACACACCTCTGCGACAATTGTTTACGCCCAGTCGTATTTTCTATATGACAGGATCATGGCAATTTCAGCTACATGATACCAGGAATTGAATTTGTAAGATAGTGCGCCGCCTAACGGGTTGTCCTTTTTAAGCCCTCTTTGGCTGCATTTCCAAACTTTCTTGCGCAATCTAACACCGTGAAAAGTTGATCTTTGTGATGCACAACCAAGTGAATATTCTCCACGTCTAGTTTCATGCAACTCAACAGGTTAAGAGCGTCGTGTTGGTATCATTCTGAGACCCGCTTACGGGTTTCAAGGCCGTTAAGCATTTTAATTGACGCAGCAATCTTAGATGCCACGTTACCCTGTGGGCTATTGAGATTTTTGATAAATTGGCAATTTCGCTTCTGATAGAATTTTCATTTCCTCGCTGATCGCTCGATCGCCTCTTAAATCCTGAAGAGCTTGTAAGCCTGGTGCCTCTCATGGACTGAGTGATCAAATTCTCCATAAATTCTCGTGAAAGGATATCCCGGTTCTCGGTTCGTTCAAGTGATTATCTCCCGAATCCCGCTCCTCAAAATCGCCGATTCCCGTGTCCCGTTCATAACAACAATTCCGCATCTCGGTCCCTTCTCACTTTAAATTCCCGGATACCGGCCTTCAAATAAGCCCAATCACGGATCCCGAAGAACCTATTGGGGACCCTCCTTTATGGGCACTAGCAGTGTTTTGAGAAGTAGAGATCTGTTGTTTCACATTCTTTGAAAATATCGTAATATCGTAATATCGTAAGTGACCGGACGTGCCCAATATTAAAAGTGTTCTTCCATTTTCTGGTTGCATATTGTTGGGAAGACTTTTTAACTGTATGCACAATTTTCGTTCCTGTTTTTGAAAAATTTCGACTTCTCGCTGCAAGCTGTGTATCGACTTAAAAATGCAACCCTATGGCGTTTACAATAGAATCAGTTCTCTACACGGAGACAGAGAAGTTGCGGATTAAAATGTATTAAAATGCGCCCTTTTTCCATAATAGGGGCTTAATTTTGCTGACGAGAAGTGAGGGGAAAAAAACTGCGAGCTCCGCTTTTAGGCTTGGCTCAAGCTATACGTTATACCTCAAAGTAAGTTGACTTACTTGCAAGAATTCAAGGGTTGATGTAATGGTTTTCCTCAGGATGGACGTGGAAGGAAGGTCGACTTAAACGAAGCTTAAGCTAAAAAATAAAATTGGATTAAACGCTGGTGATAATAGACGTAATTTGTCAATCAACAATATTTGAGTATACTAATACTCAAATGGTCTAGGCTGTTTTGTATAAACAATAAACATGCCATATTTCTCTAAATTAATAGACTTGCTTCCACATCTCCATACAGGAGTCAGGTACATTCTTTATTTTAATTTTAAATACTTTCGCGATCAGAATGTAGCGTCTTAACTTCAAAGGGAAAATGAAAGAAATCAGACAAAAAACGTAACATGCGTGACGTGGAATGTAAAATAGAATCTCGCCTTTTAACTTCTCTTTTTTAGATAGCTTAACTGAATTTGTTATTCAGACCTACCTGCAGATAGCTTGTTCCGTTATCTCTCACTTCTCCTACTGCCACACCATAGTAACTCATATTATTTGATGCTACTTTAGCAACACCGAAACCAACTCAATGTGTGGTTCTTAATTGCACCATAAACTCGAGTGTGTCCGCGGACTCATTGTAGTTGCTCGGGCAATACGACATGGCTATAGAGTATCTCCAAAAAGCGCTTGCCATCGAAACCGCGATTGGCGACAGAAAAGGAGATGGAACATGTTATGGAAACCTAGGTAGTGTGTTCCAGTCACTCGGGCAATACGACAAGGCTAAAGAGTATTACCAAAAAGCGCTTGTTATCTCAACTGAAATTGGCGACAGAGGAGGAGAAGGATCATATTATGGAAATCTAGGTGCTGTGTTCCAGTTGCTCGGGCAATACGACAAGGCTAAAGAGTATCTCCAAAAAGTGCTTGCCATCAAAACGGCGATTGGCCACAGAAAAGGAGAAGGAACATGTTATAGAAACCTAGGTAGTGTGTTCCAGTCACTCGGGCAATACGACAAGGCTAAAGAGTATTACCAAAAAGCGCTTGTTATCTCAACTGAAATTAGCGACATAGGAGGAGAAGGATCATGTTATGGAAATCTAGGTGCTGTGTTAAAGTCGCTCGGGCAATACGACATGGCTATAGAGTATCTCCAAAAAGCGCTTGCCATCATAACTGAAATTGGCGACAGAAATGGAGAAGGATCATGTTATGACAACCTAGGTACTGTGTTCCATTCACTCGGGCAATACGATGAGGCTAAAGAGTATTTTCATGAAGCACTTCTCATTACAACAGAAATTGACAACAGGGAAGGAGAAGGATCATGTTATGCAAATCTAGGTAGTGTGTTCGAGTCACTTGGGCAGTACGACAAAGCTAAAGAGTATCTCCAAAAAGCGCTTGTCATCGCAACTGAAATTGACCACAGAAAAGGAGAAGCAGGTGACTACGGAAACCTAGGAATTATTTGTAGAATTTTTGGAGATTATGAAGCTTCGGAAGTATACTTGGAGAAAGCTTTATCCATATCCAGAGATATTGGAGATAGAAGATTTGAGTTCGAAGTCCTTCGAGAGTACGCCATTTTGTATTTATTTCAAAATAAAATCAAGGACTCCCTTGCGTGTCTTCATCTGTGCATTGAAAGTATGAGGAGCTGAGATATTTCTTAGGCGCCAATGATCAGTTCAAAACATCATTTCTGGAAAACTCAGGAATATTTCCCTACAAGCTGCTTTGCACTCTGCTTTGTAAAACCGGAAATGCTCTTGATGCTCTTTATGTTGAGGAGTTGAGTCGAGCTAGAGGCCTATCGGACTTAATGGCAGAGAAGTACTTGGTTGAAACGCACATCTCTGCTAATCCACAATCTTGGTTTGGCATTGAAAACATTTTTAGAAAGAAAAATAACTGTTCTTGTCTGTACATTTCTTTTTTTGAAAATGAGCTGCATTTGTGGATTTTGAAAACAACTGGAGTCCTTTATTATAAAAGAATATCACAAGAAGAGAATCTAGTTCAGGCTGGGTTGCCCAAAGATTTGCCTTTGAGTCACTTTTTGGCTGATAATTTCCGGAGCCTTGGTATTTTACCCATTGAAGATTGTGAAGATCGGTCTTTAAATATGGTTGAATTGCAACCTCTCTCTCCCTCGAACAAAAGAGCTCAGCAAGATTGCGACTCATGGAGAAGCACGAGGAGGACGGAGTCGTTTCAAGTCTATCTTTGTGTTACAAACTGTTTAATGCCCCCGTTTATGATTTGCTTGAGGAGCCTGAAGTCATTATTGTTCCTGATCGCAGTTTGTACAAAGTTCCTTTTGCTGCCCTGAGTGAAAAGGAGGGAGCCGAATACCTATCGGACACTCATAGGATCCGTGTGACGACGCTAAAGATCATTCAAGATAGTCCAGAGGACTATCACAGCAACACTGGTGCCTTGATTATAGGCAATCCCAAGGTTCGTGGGCTGCCGCCGTTGCCAGGTGCAAGAAAAGAAGCGGAGATGGTCGGACGACTGGTGGGTGTTCCCTCTCTGTTAGAAGAGGAAGCAACAAAGCAGGCAGTACTTGAGCGGATAAGTTCAGTGGGCTTGATACATTTTGCTGCCCATGGTAACGCCGAATTCCCCAATTCCTACTCCGAACAGTCGAAACGCTGTCCCACCACAGGAAGCTTACATGTTGACGATGGCTGATGTCTCACGAGTGAAAGTCAGAGCCAAACTGATAGTACTTAGTTGCTGTCACAGTGGAAGTGGACGGATAAGAGCCGAAGGAGTTATAGGAATTGCCCGTGCGTTCTTAGGATCCGGTGCTCGCTCGGTGTTGGTTGCGCTGTGGGCCATTCCAGACTTAGCAGCAGAGCAGCTGATGAGTCGGTTCTACAAACACCTCGTTGAAGGAGAAAGTGCCAGTGAATCCCTTCATCAGCCATGAAGTGGACCAGAAAAAACGGCTTTACCAAAATGTCTGAGTGGTCTTCGTCTACGCTGATTAGAGATGATGTGAAGCTCGAGTTTGCCATGCAGAGGTGAGTCTTGATGAGAACAGATATCTCATAAATTAAAGTTAATTTAGGTGTGAAGGTGGCTATGACTTACTGGTCGCTGACTGTCGGCGGGGATCCTTTGTTAACTTGAACATCAAGGCTAGTTTTATATAGATATATACCTATGTTTATATATATCTATATCTATATTTACATATATATATATATATATATATATATATATATATATTTCTTTCTTTTTTTTCCTTTTGGATAGTTACTATCGACGCTCTCTGGTGTAAAATATAGAATTGCGAAAGTGCCTCTCTGCCGTTCGGATATAATTGTTAGCCTTATATATATTTACATATTATGCTTCGTATAATTGTATTTGCTTTATATCCCAAGTATTAATTGAGTTAATAATAGATTGCTGCTTTTCACTTTTTTACAGCAGGAAAAAAGACCCCGACAGAGTAAATAATGAGAGTTACTCGAAGGAAACAGAGCTAAAAGACTTTTAGATGGATAAATTAAATAGAAACAAGTAAGGAAAATACTTTATCCGGTATTTCATTAAATCTGAAAAAAGAGTTGTCCCAAATTAAGGGAGATCTATTTCAATTTTTTTGTGCTTTCGTCCCAATATTCTCAAAAGGATACATTGGTTATGTACTCAGAATGTTGTGGTTTGCATTTGTGAAATAATAAGCACGAAACAATATTGACGTAGGTAAGGCTTTAAAGAAAAAGCGAAATCAGTAAAGTTAAAACAGTAGTTTAGGTATAAAACGAATCGCTAAAATCTGGTTTGGTTCTTTTTTCAAAGCCTTTTGTAAATTTTAGTTAATAAAACCTTCAATATTTGAGGAATGATTTGATGTAGCATCTTGAAGGATCTTTGTCAACCACGCCTCTGTTTTTGTTAATATACGGGCAACTTCTGAGAAATTCGTTCATATTAACTCAACGCTTGGCAGGAGTCGTGCCGGCCGTAAACACTTTTTACCTGGGGTAAAGAAAGGATTCGCAAAAGGAAAAGTGTTAAAATGAATGCTGTTTTATTAATATCGTCCTGTGCCTATCAAGTCAAGTAATGTTATGCAAAAATCGCAACCGAAGAGATATGAATTTATTACAAAGCGGCTTCGTTAAACCTTTGTGGTTTCACATCTCACCAATCATCCCCATCAGCTATAAAACATTGGCATGCTATGCATGCAAGAGTTATTTTTTGGGGGGTGGGTGGATTACTTGAAATATTGTCAGTGATGTCTACATTCTTACAAAAGGAAAGAGGAGTATTAACACGGAAAAGAACGAAAATGTCGAATTAACTCACACACAGGTATTATGTGGTAGAGTGTGTATATAGTGTGAATAACTGTAACCAAAAATAAACTGTATTGGTGTCACGGATACTTGTTAGTACAAAATGCAGACTACACACTGCAGATCGGATACAAAATGTAGACCAGGACAAAATGCAGACTGAGAATCTAAAGAGTTTTTTTTTCGTCTGGTATGTGATAACATGTGAACTTACAACTTACCGAGCGTCACGCAATGGCTTTTCCGCGATCAGCTTTCACGATTACTTGCACAATTGTGGAATATTCCTGGTCCATTCCTTGATGAAAGTCGATCGTAATATAATTTCAAGCCTTCATATAGTCTTCTCACTTTGCGCACGAGTTAGTTGGTGTGATGTCTGTACAGATTTCAGTTTACCAAATTAATAAAAGTAGATGAAGATGTAGAGGAGATGTCACATGAATATTTAACACGCGCAACATTCGGGAAACAATTGACAGCTTTGCACGCGGTCCGTTTTATCATCTTTTTAAGCGGTATGTGTTTATTTTGTAGACGAAAATGCGGACCGGGACCAAAAGTGTTCCTTCGGCTTGATTAATTTTTCTACGTTTGTATATTACATCATATTAACTTATCTCTGTTGTGGTTCAATTTTATTCTTGGTTCAAATTTTGTTTTCTTTTGTTTTTGGGTATTGTAATGTTTGATAATGAGTTTGAAACAAAGGAAAATAAAATTTGAACCAAGGATAAAATTGAACCACAACATTTCCGTAAATCATTCATTCCAGATAAGAAAATCAAATAAACATGCTAACGATGGTATCTGAATTCGTCCTTGGCCAAACATAAACGACTCCACAAGATCACTTTCTCCAGGCATCGAAAACATACACAAAATCGTCCATGGTTAATTTTAATCAGACATTCATCTGAGGATAGCACCGATCAAACCAATCCAGAAAAGTACGATCGGCACTCTCAACAAATCATGAATCTTGCAACACAGCTTGCCGTTAAAGAACCGCTCAAATCACAATGTTTGGTGCAGTTCATCAACACCTCAAGCAACATTTAATTCAAAATTTTTCCACTCACTCTCGTCGTGAAGGAACGATAACCATGATCATGTTACAGCGCACAGAACTCCATTTACTCTCGAATAAACTATCCACCATCTTCACAGCATGAGTAACTCGCCTGATATCTTTCATCTGTCCAGTCTCGTGAAGCGCGGTAAAATACACGTTTAAAACACAGAAAAGCCAACATTTCTCATTCTAATTCCATTCTACGAACCGCTATCTCCGAATCCCCCATTACTTCGTTGAAATGTGAACACCTCTCAAAGCAAAGAACAAAAACGAGTGAAAGTCAAAGCTAAACTGGTGGTACTTAGCTGCGGTCACAGTGGAAGTGGACAGATAAGAGCCAAAGGAGTTATAGGAATTGCCCGTGCGTTCTTAGGATCCGGCGCCCGCTCGGTGTTGGTTGCGCTGTGGGCCATTCCAGCCTCAGCAACAGAGCAGCTGATGAGTCGGTTCTACAAACACCTTGTTGAAAAAAAAAGTGCCTGTGAATCTCTTCACCTGGCCATGAAGTGGATGAGAAAAAAACGGCTTTACCAAAATGTCTGGGCATGAGTGGGCTTCGTTTACGTTGATTGGAGATGATGTGAAGCTCGAGTTTGACAAGCAGAGGTACGACTCAGTGAAAACAGATATTTCATAAATTAAAGTTAAATTAGATGTGAAGGTGGCTATAACTTACTGGTCGCTGACTGTCGGCGGTGATCCTTTGTCACCTTAAGCTTGAATATTAAGGTTAGTTTTATGCCTTGTTTTTTTTTTTTGTTTGTTTCTTTCAGAGAGTAACAATTTATGCTCCAAGTTAGGAGTAAAATTTAGAATCTCGAAAGCGCCACTCTGCCAATAAGATACAAGTGTGTATTTGCTTACGTACTACGCCTGGTATAACTGTATTTGCCTTACTTAAGAAATTTTGATTGAGTTAGTTACAATTGTTTTTTTTTGTTTGTTTTTTTTTACGTTTGTTACAGGAAAGAAAATGAGGATAGCTCGAACGAAACAGACCTTAAAGACTTTGAGATTGATAAACAAATAGAATAAGTAGAGAAAATACTCTATCCGTTATTTCATTGTGTAATTCAAGAATGGGCAATCTCAAATTAAGCATATTGATTTTAATTTTTTGCTTTCTCTTTTCCGATCTTCTCAGAAGGAGGTATTGGTTACGTATCCGAGAATATTTTTTTCTGCACAAAAATTATCTTACCCGGCTGATATAATTAGCATGAAACATTATTGACTTAGGGCTCTTAAGCGAAGTGAAATCAGGGAAGTTAAAACAGTAGTTTAAGCATCAAAAACGAGCCAGTTAAGTCTTAGAGGGTTTTCTCTCAAAGCCTTTTGTTATAGGTTTCGTTAACAGAATCCTAAATTTTTTTCATGTAAAATCTATACGGAAAGTTCCTCTTTTAGTCAATTCCAGTACTACTTCTGAGTGCTCATCGCGTAGAATGCCTGGACATCATTAATTATTCATCAGTACTGAAACGGGAGATTTGACTGCACTCGCGCCTTGAAAAGCCCATAATTAGAGAAGAAAGGGCCGAAACTAGCTCAGCAGCGTTCATAAAATTCGGTTTTTCAATTGCCAGAGGCAAAAATTGAGAAACCCAAGAGCGGGTTTTTTTAGAGGAAGGGTTAATCCTTAATTTAAGCTTAAAAAGGGGAAGTTGAAGAAAGTATAAGGACTATTCCCGAGCCTTTGAAAATGACGAAAAAACGGACATTTTTAGTATGAAGGCCGATTTCAAAGGCGATTTTTCAAAAACTCAAACCGGCATCTAAAACCCAAGAGCAGGAAATAGAAGATGGATCTTTCCTGAAACAGAATCCGTTTTAACTTGGAAAATTGGTGTACGACAACCACTATTCCTCGCTGTTTTAAAATTTGTAGTCGCAGTTCCTTTCGAAAAATGGCGCGTTTCGAGTTCGACACTATTGTTTTCAGCCCACGCTTGAATAACAATGGCTGTCAAAACTAAGCAATGGCCTATTCAAGAAAACCACTCATTTTTAAAATAGACGATTTACCGCGAGTTTTAAAAATGATCTTAGCGCATCAGCTGCTTTATGCAACTAAACCGCGCGATGATGAATGATCAAAGACAAAATGATCGTGATCGGGAGCTCTTTTCAGAGCTCATAGAACACCCGATTCACCCTCATCTTATACAAGTAGTTCCACCTTTTCTTGAGGAAAGTAATCCAGTTTACATGATTCAAATAAGCGGTGAAGCAGCCTGGAAATGCAGAGAGTTTTACTGGATGCCTCGTAGAGTATTTGATTCACTTCAGGCGAGCATCCTGCCTCTCGGCTACAAGCTAAATGAATCCTCCTGCGACCGCGTTGGTCGCACAGTCGGCGAAAATATAAGGAGATTTAAACGCAAGATGGACCCAATTACAAGCAGTAAACAGAGGCAAAAAGTACGAGCCGAGACGTGGGTTAAAATTACAATAAAACCCGAGGAGATCGCGCTAACACCAAGTGACATGTTGGCAAAGGTGACGAAAAAGAACAACGCCCTTTCGACCACAGTTGAAGAAAAGACCGCCGAGTTATACAATTCAGAGGGTAAGAGACTTGCCCACAATGGCAAACACTTTACAGAAGTCGGAAAGAAACAGCAGAAGAGACAGTTAACTGAGATACGGTAAGTCGGCTTTTAATTCCCTCTTGTTGCCAACGTAAACAATTTGGTTGCTTAGGAAATTATATATGGACCTGTTGGTGAAATTCAACGTATTGTTTTGTTATTTCTTTGCAGAAGAAAAGCCAAAGATGCACTCTGGTTCGGAGAAACGTACGGATTAATGCCCGAGTCCTTCAGGCTCCGGGATAAAACCGGACAGAGCCATGACATCAATTTAAGAGAAATTCCAGCAGGTAACCAAACTTCAAAAAACCAGTATACTGCAACTGTAGAGTAATTCACGAGAGCAAAAGATGACTCTCCTCATATCACTTTCATAGCAGATGGTCCTGACAAAGAAAACATGTCGATTAGTGGAGCAGTTCCTGAAATTCAAAACGAAGACCATTCGAGGCGAGGAGACAGTTCCAAAGGTAGGGAGACCTTTCCAATAATAATTATTTTCAAACAGGGTGCCTTCTGAGTCATAAAAGTGGTTTCAGAACAGCCCTGCTTTCTGAGTTTAATAATAATGATAATAATAGTAATGATACTAATAACGGTGTTAGAATTCCCAATATCCACCTAAAAACAAAAAAAAAGAAAGTGAAGAAGTCGGTTGGTCACCTTTCATTTTACTCAAGTTGTGATTTTTGCAGAACATCACATGACTTTAAAGTCATTGGACAAAGATAAAAAAAAACTGACAGACTTTACCTTAACTTTTGCAATGAGAACTTTCCACATGCATAGTTTCTATAAACAACATTAATCAACGGGGTAAGCTTTTGAAGAAACTTTCGTGGGGTATTAAAAAACTATTTGGCTTTACCGACCGAGTTGACAATGTAAATTGGCCATCGTAATGAGTTTCAGCCGTCGTTTACTTCCGTTTGAAAAATGTCACCAACCAAGTTCACTGTGTATTTGTCATGGAAAAAGCAAGTCCCATACATGAAATTTCAATTCCAATATTGGAACTGACAGTCAGTGTTATCTGCGTAAGGCTCTCCAGAATTATTCGAGAAGAATTGGAAATGAGAGTAGACCAAGTTTACTACTGGACTGACTCAGCTTCCGTGTTGAAGTACATCAACTTTGTTAACTCGCAGGTAAGCGAACCGTAGAAACTAGACTTAACTCACTGAGTCATTGTCGTAAATAATAGCGGAGCTCGCAGAGCGTAGCTCCATAATTATGCAAAATAGTAGTAGCCCATCAAGCCCAAAAATTTGGATGTACGACCGTACGACCGTACAAGGTGCTACTTTTAACATGCGTGGTCAACTGTACCGCGGGCACGCCAACGCCACAGCTTTGTCCAGTAGTTCAATGGTCAGTGCATTGGGCTGCGAGTCGGACGACCCGGGTTCTAGTCCTGGGACGCGCGGGAAAAAAAATATGAGCTCCACTTTTAGGCTTGGCTAAATCTATATATTATACTTTGACCTAGGTTTTTTTGCTTCGTTCATCTCGTCACGTGATGTAAAAGAAACATTTTGCCCTTAGGTTGAATCATATTCCTACCGATTTCTGTCTTTCATCTTTTTGTGAGTGAACGTTAAAAGCCAAAAATTTATTATGTACATCCTCTATGTTAGAGCAGTCTGAAGATTAGTGAAGAGTCTTACAAACTTCAAAGCGAACTTAAAGATTATCCGCAAATGAGCTTAAAGGAATGACAATGGAATTAATTGTAGTTTTAAAACAGTTACAATTGGAATATAATAAATCAATGTTAAGAAAGCTCATACAGGTTATAAACAAATAGATACCAAATGACAATGACATAAAAAAAATAATAAATCACTAAGAGTTTTTTTTGTAATATTCAGTTTTTTGTATCTTTGTTCACATTTTACTTAAGTGATAGACAGTTGTGCCTGGCTTAAACTACACTCATATTTGAAAATCATTTGATATCAAGCTTAGAGGTCGTTTCAAAAAGTTTCATTGGTACTAAGAATTTGTAACAGGATTTGTGATCGAACTAGAACTTCAGGTCTTTCTAATCGCATGAGGAAACTCACAAAATTTCTCTTCCCAGTGTCTCAACTTTCCTAAGGCAGATAATTAGGAAACCGGAAACAGACAAGAAATGGGAAAAGAGAGTCCCTTCTTAATTGATGATGAAGCTCATTGACTCAATCAGCGAAGAAGATTGAAGAATAAGAGGCTTGGTTATATCTGTATTGTGAGGTAAGGAAGCTACCTTTTCTCAAACGAAACAAACTGCTGCCATGTGTCATAGCCTGACTCGCTGATTTATTTTTGAGGCATTATTCGCTTTGATTAAAAACAAACAAAAAAGACAAGAAAAAATGCAAATTTAGCCAATGAAAAATCCATGGAAATCAAAAGAAATCAGAAAGAAATAGCCTACAATATAAGTTCTAGTTTCCCCATTCTTAGTTTATTGATTTTGTTATACCGGCTGTCAAAACGTATTTGCAATGCAGACTCTTGGGATCACTGTATTTTATTTCTTATTCATGAATAATACAAGAATGATTAATGAGAAAATTGCTCTAGTTTTCTTGAGAACTATTCGACAGTTTAAATAATGTACCGTCCAAAATGTTTGTATTGGAAATTCCCTCGCTCGATTTTATTGAAACACCGTTCTTTTGGTTCATTACCGAGATGATCACAGATGTAAGTTATTGACATTCGGCAATATAGCAACATTTGCAAAGATTGTTCATTTTAAAAGCAGTGAGCGCATTTATCAGACGAATGTCCCTGAAAACGAATATTTTCTTATTAGATGAGGATCATTAATAAGATGCGAGACCACAAAGGTTTGATATGATTGCCCTATAACAAATTCATTTAACTTCGGTGGCGAATTTTACACATCGTTACAGTACTTTAAAGTGACAGGACAAATACTAACCGGGAAAACAGGACTTTTTTATTTCAGGCTTTGCTATTAATTAAAACGTTACTCATGCAAAATTACTCTAAATAACAATATTCTAGTGCTATTTACTTGATACATGACAAGAATTCTGTATATCTTTTTACTTGCACTTACCAAGCTGTCGACTTCATGGTTGATGCTTTTTAAAAGTGAAACGACAGAAAAGACTTTAATGAAAGACAGTTATGACTTTTCCTTGTATTCCAAAACCTCCGCCTCTTGACTTACCCTAACTATTTTGTGATTCAGGTGAGAACACAAACTTTCATAACATCCTGAGGACCTATTTAGTTAGATTTTAAAACCATTCTTTAACTGGATTCTGTTTTTTTTTTTTTTTTTTTTTTTTTTTTTTTTTTTTTGACATCTCAAAACATTTGTAAACCTTTAGCTGAAATTCTAATAATAATCTATTTCCCAAAAGTTTCCCTGATGGCCGGCATTAAACTATGATTTGATATCATGTTGTTAACTTGTGGCTACGCGATACGGAGAAATGGGTTTACTGTGGAAAGTCTGATATGCAAATATCCACTCGCTCACTGATTCACTCTGGTGGAGACTGTTGGGAATAAATAACTTTGATCTTCTTTTTCTTGAAAAAGAAACAGAACTTACGGTTTTACTAATCACGTGAGGAAACTCGAAAACTTTTTGTTCTGGCCGTCGAAACGTATATGTAATGAAACTCCTCAGGATTAGGCATCCTTATTTCTTGTTCATGAATAATACAAGACATTTTTTTTGTCTTGCTTAAAAAGCTTGAATTATTTTCTCTACAAAACTGTCGAAGGGGAAGAGACCGCGACGCAAAACATGAAAGAGTAAACAAAGACAAAGACAAAGGTTCAACGTGAATAACCTAACATTTCATTTTGAGGATCGATTAATCCATTTTCAAATCACGGGCGAAAAGCTTGTATTAATACAGAACACATTTTCAAGTGAGAACCTAAGATAAATATTTAGGTATTGTAGCTTTTCGCAAGTTTGACGTCGGAATCCGATATAGATATTATTTTTTCCTACGCGTAGATTGCTTTTGAAATTCATGGCAAGGGCAGATATTTCGCCACGTGAAATTGACTTTTATTAACACGCACGTTGTTTGTGAAGTCTTAGATGCTGTGTCGTAAATATAATTGTCCACATGATGCCCTAACGTCGATTGCATTTAGTTTCCAAGGCGGTGTCACTAAACTTCTGGATAAAAAGAAAAGCCCGCAAGATTTGACCGAATTACCCTTAATCTACCCTCTTACAGTTATGTTGGTGTTAATGTCTATTTAGTCACCGGAAATTCATTGTAAAGGACAATAAAATTTCGATTAGTTCAGCCAATCCCTTGAGCACGCATATCGTCAAGTGATGTTCATTATGTTATTTCATAATTTTTCTTCCTTTGTCAACTCGTTCTCCATAAGATTCACTAGAGTAGTTTGATGGTTACTGGTATGTCGTCAATATGAGCGTTCACTTATCTCACGGACGGGCGTAGATTGTATGCTTGGCTTGTAAGGGTCATAACTTTTTAGTGACTGGCCAAGGGGGAAACTGGTAAGTCCACTGTAGTAAGGGAAGTCATCAACAATTTTCGAGCGGCTGGAAAAAGGTTTCTGTGGTATGTTCCAGTGGTATAGCATGCACGATCCTGGTGCCGCTTCTATCGTGCATTCCTATTATGGATCAGGAATTGCAGACCTATCACGGGGAAAGCTGTCTGCTTGGTTGATTGGGACGCTCGATTAATGCGAGGTGTCACTGTGGGGATGGGAATAACAGTGATGGCAAAGTAAGCTTAAAACAGCAGAAATCGTCAGAAACTGATATGGACACACAAGATGTGTGTACTTTTATTGATTTTACGTGTTAAATGTTGATTTCTCGAAATATTTCTCGTGATAAATCGACCATATTTCGCTCCCCATTCTATTCTTAATAACGAGTTCAACGCTCGTAACTTAACGCCAAGTCACACAACCCGTGACGCTTTCATGAATTAATCGGTTGCTTTTTCTCGAGACGTGAACTCGGACCACCTCTGCTGACACTGATCAGTAAAGTTCATTCTGCATTATGAATATGTCTTAATATGGGATTGATGTTAGTTTTTGATCACGTGATTGCTGAAACCATAAGTTTCTCAAATTAAACAATGCCTAACAATATCTTAACTACTGAGGTTGAAATATATTGTATAAAACCTTAACGGTTTGAAGAAAGAAATTTAACGGTGGAGATATAAAGTATCCGTTCAACGGTAAGGTACGCTTATACTATGAATGCAATAACAGTGAATTTAAGAAAGTTTCACTCCTCTGAGAAAATTAAACCATCTCTCTCCGTGAGCGCGCAGCCTCACAACTTATCTTCCTGTGCGAGACTCTGGCGCTTAAACGGAAAAAAAAAACAGATTACGGCTTTAGAAAAAATATGTACCGTAGAAACCGCCCTTAGTATCCAAAAGTTTAAGAGAAGGGTATCTCGACAATGAAACGCTTGTGTACAAGTAGAAATAT